CATCCAGTCCACAGTCTGTGAGGAGATGGCAGTGTCCTCAGAAGAAACAGAGGTAACCTCAAGTTCACAGAGTACATGAAAATATGGGTCTTTCAGGTCCACATCTGTGAGGAGTTTTGGGTGTTCCCAGAGTCTGTTAGGAAATGGAGATGTCCACCCAATTTAATTTACAGAGTCTGAGGAAAAACAGTACCCATCCAGTCCACAATGTCTGTTAGGAGTGGGATGTTCCCTCAGTTCACAGAGTCTGTGAGGAACCAGAGTCTGTGAGGAAATAGGTTGTCTTGCCAGTCCAGAGTCAGTGAAGAGACAGAGGCGACTCCACTGTCCACAGAGTATGTGAGGCAATGGAATGACCCCCAGTCCAGAAAGTGTGAGGAAAAAAATGTCCACTGAATCCACAGAGTCTGTGAGGAAAAAGGGGTGTCTTCCCAGTGCAGGGTCTGTGAGGAGACACTGTTGTCCCCACAGTTTGGAGTCTATGGAGAAATGGGAATCTCCCCAGGTCCAGAATTTCAGTGAGACAGGGGTGTCTCCACACTCCACAGTGAGGAAATGGGTACTCCCCCCAGCATAATCTGTGAGAAAATTTCCCGCTTAGACTCTGTGGAGACTCTGAGGAGACAGGGTGTCCAAACAGTCCAAAGAGCCTATGAAGAAATGGGGATGTCCAGCCAGTCCAGAGGGTCTCAGAGGAAAATGAGGGTCCACCCAGTACACAAAGTCTGTGAGGAGATGGGGTGTCCCCACAGTCCACAGAATGTGAAGAAATGGGAATGTCTCCTCAGTCCATAGAATTGCAGAGTAAAAAAGTTTGTTCACTCAGTCCACATAGCCTTTGAGGAGACAGAGTGTCCCCACAGTCCAGGATTGGTCAGGAAATGAGAATGTCCCTCCAGTTCAAAGAACATGTGAAGGGACATGAATGTTCCCAAGGTCCATATAGTATTTGAGGAAAAGAAATGTCCACCATTCCAGAGAGTCTGAGGAGACAAGGGTCTCCCCACAGTCCACAGAATCCATGTGATAAAATGGGAATATCCCCTTAGTCCACAGAGTCTGTGAAGAGACGTGGTTGTCCCCAACGTCAACAGAGTATATGAGGAAATGGGATTACTTCAAATCAAGAAAATCTTTCAGAAAAAGGAGTGTCTATCCAGTTCACAGAGTATGTGAGGAGACGGGTGTCACCCAAGCCAGAATCTGTGAAGAGACAGGGGTGTCTCCACAATCCAGAGTCTGTGAGGAAATGGGGATGCCCCTACAGTTCACAGACTGTGAGGAAATGGGTGTATCCACAGTCATAAGGTCTGTGAGGAAATAAGGATGTCTACCCAGGCCACAGAGTCTGTGAGGAAACAGAGGTATCCCCACAGTACACAGATCTTTGAGAAAATGTGGATTCTCCCCCAGTCCACAGTGTCTGTGAGGAGACAGTGCTATCTTACTCTATAGAATCTTTGAGGATATGCAATGTGCCCCCATTCTAGAGTCTTTGAGGAGACATGGGTGACTCCACAGTCCACAGAATCTATGAGGAAATGAAAATATCCACCAAGACAGTCTGTCAGGAGATAGTGTGTCCCCACACTTCACAGAGTCTGTGAGGAAAATAGGGATGTCCATCCAATTCACAGAGTCTGTGAAGAAAATGAATGTTTGTCCCAATCCAGAGAATCTGTGCAGAAATAGGAATATACACAGAGGACACCCCTGTGAGGAGACAGGGGTGTCCCTACACTCCACAGAGTTCGTAAGGACATGCATATGTCCCTCCGTCCAGAGTCTGTGAGGAGACAAAGGTAATTCCATAGTCCACAGTGTGAGGAAATGCGAATTCCCACCAAGTCCAGAGTCTCAGAAAACAACTGTCTACCCAGAGCACCCAGTGTTAGGAATGAGGTGTTCCAGGAGTCCACAGAGTCTATGAGGAAATAGGAATGTCCTCCAGGTATAGAGTCTGTGAAGAGACAAGAATGTCCCCAAAGTCGGTGAAGAAATGGGAATGTTCCACCAGTCCACAGAGTCTATGAGGTAAATGAGTGTCAGCCCAGTCCAGAGAGTCTGTGAGGAGACAGGGCTCACCCCACAGTTCACAAAGTCTGCAAGAAAATGAGGATATTCATAGTCCAGAGTCTTTGAGGAGACAGTGCCATCCCCACAATATACAGAATGAGGAAATGGGGATGTTCACCAGTCCACAAAGTCTTGAGAAGAAGTGGTGTCCCCACAGTCCACTGAGTTTGTGAGAAAATGGAAATGTTTCTACCCAGTCCACAGAATCTCTGAGGAAAAGGAGTGCCCACCCAGACCACAGAGTCTGTGAGGAGACCAGGTGTCCCCCGCATTCCCTCATTCAACATTCTGTGAGAAAATGGGAAAATCCCCCAGTCCCCAGACTCTGTGAAGAGATGTGATTGTCCCCAAAGTCCACAGAGTATATTAGGAAATAAGATGATCCCCAGTCCAGAAAGTCTTTGAGGAAAAGGAGTGTTCACCGGTCCTCAGAGTCTGTGAGGAGAAAGGGATGCCCCCACAGTCCACAGAGTCTGTGAGGAAAATAGGATGTCCCCCAGTCAAGATTCTGTGAGGACATAGGAGTGACACCAGACTCCACAGAGTCTACGAGGAAATGGGCATGTCATATCCATTTGTCAACACAGTTCTGAGTCTGTGAGGAGACGGGGGTATCCCCGCAGTCCACAAGTCTGTGAAGAAATGGGGGTGTCCACCCAGTCCACGAAGACTGTGAGGTGATGGGTGTGTGCCCACAGCCTGTGAGGAAATGGGGATGCCCACCAAGTTGACAGTCTTGAGGAGATAGGGTGTCTTCACAGCCCACAGAATCTGTGAGAAGATGGGGATGTCCACCCAGTCCAGAGTCTGTGACAGACTTGGGTATCCACACAGTCCACAGAGTATATGACAAAACGGGGATGTCTACCAATTCCAGAGAGTCTAAGAGGAAAATGAGTGTTGACTCAATCCAGAGTCTGTTAGGAGATGGGGTGTCCCAACACTCCATAGGGTATGTGATACAATGGTGAAGTCCCTCAAGTCTACAGAGTTGTGAGGGGACAGGAGTGTCCTCATAGTCCACAAATCTGTAAGGAAATGGGGATGTCCATTCAGTTCATAAAGACTGTGATGAGATGGCTGTGTCCCATAGCCACATAGTCTATGAGGAAATAGGGATGGCCCCTTAGTCCCCAGTCTGTAAGGAGACAGGGTTTTCCCCACAGTCCTGAGAGTCTGTGTGGAAGTGGCGATTTCTCACCAGTCATAGTTTGTGAGGACACAGGGGTATCCCAACACTTTATGGTGTCTCTGAGGAATGTGGATCCCCAGTCCACAGAGTGTGAGGAAAAGGAGTGTCCACCGAGTCTGAGAGGATAGAGTGATGTCCCCACAGTCCAGAGTCTGTGACAAAATGAGGATTTTCCCCAAGTCCATAGAGGAGACAGAGATGCCCAACACTCCACAGAGCCTGTGAGGAACTGTGGATATCCATACAGTTCAAAGTCTTTGAGGAGATAGGGGTGACCCCACAGTCTGTGAGGAAATGGAGATGTGCCCCCCCAGTCCAGAGTCTGAGGAGATGAGTGTCCCCACAGTCCACATATTCTGTGAGGAAATTTGGATGCCCATACAGTCCACAGATCTTGTGAGTAAAAGGAGTGTCCACCTAGTCCAAAGAGTGTGAGGAAATAGGGATGTCTATCCAGTCCACAGAGACTGTGAGAAAGTGTGAATGTCCGCCCATCCACAGACTCTGTGAGGCAGCGTGTCCGTGCAGACCAGAGAGTCTGAGGTGATGGGGGTGTCAATCGAGTTGTTTGGGGATGGGGTGTCCACCTAGTACAGCAATACCCACCTACGTTTGCACAGCACCACTGCCACCTATGTCTGGAGCAGCTTAACTCAGAGTTGGCAATGCTGTGGCAAGCAGTCACCAGAACATCCAGGGTTGAGAAGAATTAAGTGTACAAGAGTGGCTGAGTGATCTTCCTTCCAGAGAAGGTGGAGTAGCAGAAAACTTGGGTCCCTCTCATTCAGTGCAGAATCCAGGAGGGCCAGATACCACAGGCCTCCCAACAACCAGCTTCCCTGGCGCTGCCACCCAGGCATGAGGACAGACCCTACTTTTGGAGTAACTTGCACACAGGACCCTCTAGCGCAGTGGTGCCACTCCAGCCAGTGGAGGAAGGTGAGGGGCCATGGAAGGGCTCAGACCCAGGGTGGTCCCACTGGCAGGCCATCAGCTCCATACCCTAGAGCATCTCCAGGTGCTCCTGGGCCACATGGAATGCTCTGTGGGGCCCTTCTCCCCATGTGAGGTGAACAGGAACCTCAGAGCTGACCTTGTCTCACACAGGGCAGCTCCCACCACCTCAGACAGCTCCCCTGAGCCACATACCAAACCACGGACCCAGGGCTATAACAGGGCTCGAGGGATGCAGAAACTCTCGAGGGAACAAGACAATGGCTCCCTCACCAGCCTGCGCCCAGCCTCAGCCTCAGAATCTAGAGCAAAAGACAGGACCCCAGGACAACAGGGGCCCCGGCCGGCAAAGCTGCACTCTGTCCAGGTCCGACCCCTAGGCCAAGGACAGCAGGCATCTGTCTCTGCCCAGCGGCCTGAGGGTCAGGTCTTGGCCTGGCCTGGCACCGGGTACCACTGCAGATCCTGCAACATCGACTCAGACTGCCCCAGGGCCGCAGGACCGCACCATGTGGTCCCCAGCAAGCCCCTTCCTGGGGCTCCTCTGACATGGAGGCTCTGCAGCTGGGGCACCCTTGAGGCAGAGAAGGGCAAGTGGGGTCCACCAGGCATGGCCTCTTCCCGGGGGCAGCAGGAAGCAGAACCCTAAAGATGGATCCGCGGCCCAATGAGACACACAAGTCAGCAGGGTCGGCCCTGCCACCATGGGCTTCTTCTCTTTAATGTCAGCCTCTCCCAATCAGACATGGCCACAGCCTTACGGACAGGCCCCACGGGCCTAGTACGCCAAAAAGTCAGCGAAGATGCTGTCAGCCTCCTCTCTCACAGCCACGCCTGCAACCCCCACGTCCAAGCCCCAGGGCTCAAGGGGACCATCCTGAAGCTCCTGGGGGCTGTGCTCAAGGCCTGGCAGGAAGCCCGGCTCCGCGCCTTCCAAGGGGCTGCTCCTGGGCAGGGCCCGAGAAGGGACACAGCTGGCCTCCAGGGGTCCTGGAAGAGAGGCCACACTGACGGGGCAGTGAGCAGTCACATGTCCCCGGTGCCTTCAGCCCCACTTGTCTGGTAGGAGTCTCCCCTTCCCCTCCCCTGGGAGGTGGCCACCAAGCCCCACACTCACCCAGCCACCAATCAGGACTGGTCATGAGGAGAAAGGGGGTCCCATCTTCCAGATCACCTTCTGACATGGACCTAGATGAGGCAGGGGGGCCCGGGGCAAGATGATGCCCCAGCCTGAGCCCCATCGCCTGTGGGTTCTGAGCAAGGGCTAGTGCCCGCCACGGGCCCAGCTCCACAGCAGCCACACATGGGATCTAGCAAGACAGGTGATTCCAGAGAACAGCCACATGGGCACACAGCCGCTTTGGCCCTGCATGGGGCACAGGCATGACCAGGGCAGGGTACAAGGCATGTGCAGGGTATTCGCGGGTACCCACCTGACATCCAGCAGTGGCCCGGTTCCCTCGGCCCCCCACCCAGGTGGGCCCATGCACCTTAGCGACTCTTCACTCTCCAAAGGGGACCACGTTGGGGGCAGCCTCAGGTCTCTGGGCGAATGTGGGCTGAGGGCCCGGGGCGCCCCATAGGGAAGCTCTGCGGGAGAAAACACCAGGGTTCGGCTGGAGGGGGGCATTCAGTGGGGAAGATGGACTCCAGGACAGGACCCCGCCCACTCTCCACCGTGGGCCACGCCCCCTAGCAAGCAGTCTTGGAGCTGAGGGCACATGGCTGACACACAGGTGCTGACATGCGGTTGGTTACCGCAGCCACTGTCCAGGGAGTGACAGCACCAGTGAGGCCATGCTAGGCATAGTCACCAAGAATAGCAGCATGTCACACACAAGGGTAGTCACACATACAAACGTGTAGCAGCATGCATGGAGACACATGCAGACATATGCACATGTGCACAGATGCAGGCACACACATACATGTGCAGAAGACACGTGTGCACAGATGTACATGTGCACAGGTACAAGAATACCTACACAGGCACGTGTACATATGCAGACACGCATGCACAGACGTACATGAGCCCACAGACACAGGAACACCATTATGTGCACATGCACACACAGAGGTATATGAACACATATATGTGCAAATATGCATACACACATGTACATGAGCACACAAGCACACATGGGTACATGTCTCCATACGTGAGCACACAGGCATACACGTGCAGACATAGTATGCAGATGTGTACATGCACAAACACAGCACATGTACACATGCAGACAAGTATGGCATGTCAGGCACCACAGCCTGGCAAGGAGGGCAGGACTCTGCAGGGACACTGCCCTGAGTCTGCCCAGGACAGGATGGACAGACCAGCCAGTGCCAGCGGTGATGGCCCCCTTCCTGCTGACCTGCCTGAGGTTGGTGATCTGAAGGGCACAGAGGGTCAACAGAGGGTCAGTGCCGTCCCTGCCACCTCAGACGGACCCTCCTCAGGACTGCAGACCCCACTTACCAGGCATAGGGGGTGGCCCACCGCGGGCCTCAGCCACACCCACTCGGCTGGGGGGGCTGATCAGCCTGAAGGGCAGAGGCGCAGAGTTAGAGCCCAGTCCCTGTTCAGAAGTTTCCAGAAGCAACCCCCGACCCCCCAACCGCGCTGGTTCCCGCACCATCCCACCGGTGTCCAGCGGAATTCCCTTCCAGACCTCCCGGAGGAAGGGGGTGTCCCCGCAGCCCCTCCCCGCCCCGGCCCCGAGAAGAGAATGGCCAGAAACCGGGCATGCGGCGGGCTCCGCTCCCCGAGACACGCGGCGGGGCCGTCCGGCCCGAGGCCCCCGTCCTGCTGCCCAGACGACGCGAACGCTGGCACGGCGCTGCTGGGCGCATCCACGCCGAGCTCGGCCGCGGCCGCCTGGGTCCGTGGGGTCAGAGCCATCTGCACCGAGTCCTGTGGCGCGGGCCACGCGTCGCCTCTGCCCTGCAAGAGACGGGCTCAGCGGGGGCGCGTGACGACACCCGGGCCCCGCGCGCGGCCACTCACCGCGGGCCCCGCCAGGCGCAGGAACTGCACGGCCATCTCCAGCACGGAGGCCATGTCCTCCCGCCGGCCCTCGAAGTGCGGCAGCAGGGCCCGCAGGTGCGCGCAGCTCGCTGAGATCCGCTTCCTGTGGGCACAGCGAGCATGACCCCGGGGGCCGTCGGAGGCGGAGCCAGCCCGGCCGCCCGGCCGGCCCACGCACCTGCGCTCCCGCTCGTTGAGCACGTTCCGGGGCAGCCGGCGGGACGGGGAGCCGGGCCTGGGAGCACCGCTGCGGACAAGAAGCCAGAGCTCGCACGCGGTCCGGCCCCGGGGGCCCCCCAGCACCCCGGACGCTCCCGCCGGGTCCTCACCCTTCGGCCCCGGGAGCCGAGGCCTGGGAGGCCGAGGACGCCATGAGCCAGCACCTGACGCAGACCCGGGACTGGGCGCACGCCCCCACGTGCTCAGACACGCCCTTTGTGCGCCGGCTATGCCCACGTGCACGGCCACGCCCCCCACGTGCAGGCCATGCCCCCCACGTGCTCGGACATGCCCCACGTGCACGGACACGCCCAAGTGCACAGTCCCCAGTCCCACGTGCAGGCCACGCCCCCGCGCACAGCCCCGCCCTGCGCGGAGCACAGCCACGCCCCATGAGTACGAGCCCCGCCCAATGAACATAGCCCCGCCTCCAGGCACAGCCTGCGCGCCTCCCCCGCACAGCACAGCCACGCCTCAGAAGCACAAGCTCCGGTCCGTATACAGCCACACCTGATGGGCGCAGCACGCCCTAGGAACGCAACCCCCGCCCCCCAGCCCAAACACCCGTCCCCTGTGCACAGCCACGCCCATTGAGTACAAGCCCCGCCACCACGCGCACAGCCCCGCCCCACATAATTCAGCCAAACTGAATAGGCCGGCTACCCATCCCTCTCGTGTTCACTGCCCTCACCTACACGTGACCTGCGCACCTGCGCCACATGGGCCGCTCCCACGTTCTTCCGGCCTCGGCCCTCCGGACCGCTGCTCAGTCCCGCGTGTCCTAGGCCAGCGTCCTGCCTTGGAACGCCTCTGCGCCTGCCCTGCCACTGGCTCTTGCCTGCTGGGCCGGGCGCCGCAAAGTTCTTCCCAGGAAAGTGCCCGAAGTGGCACTGGACCCTCCCTCTCCGAGGCCAGCTGGTCCTGTCGCAGGAGTGGTTCCGCGACGTTAGAAACTTGGGGATGAGTGTGGGCAACCGCGGGTCAGCGGCCTAAACCCCCTTGGTAACTGAGTGGGCGGCGGGGTGGACTGGATCCAAGTCCTGTTTGACCCTTGGCCCGGGAAGCCTCGGAGCTCGGCCCTGCAGCACGCTGCCTGGGCCGGGCGCTTCTCAGGCCCCGGAGGTTTCGCAGAGGAGGTCTCGCGCTCTGCCGCGCTAGAGGAAACAAAGGGCGAGAGTCCAGAGCACTGCCCCAGGAGGGAGCCCGCCAGGAGAGACCCGCAGCACCACCCCACAAAGCAAACAGCACAGCGCTGGGCAGACCCGTCCGGCGCAGAGCGGTCCCAGGGTTCCCGCGCTGCAGGGTGCGGGAGGCGGGCCGGAGGGGCCGGCCCGAAGGCCAAGGGTGACTGGACGCCGGCCCTGCTCCCCACACGGGCGCCTGGAGGTGGGCTTCCAGAGAGCCGGGAGCGAGGGGCCCCGCAGGGGCGGGGCTGGGCGCGCTTCCCGGCTCCACAGACTCGACTGCCTGGGGGCTGCACGGGGGTGCCCGCTGACCCGGCCCCCAGCACGTCCAGGGTCCTGAGGCCCCTCGCCCAGGGTGCTCCGACACCACGCCTGCCCTCTCCTGTCCCCCCACTCTGCTTCCCTGAGGGTTCCCGGTCTGGCCCCTGCGGGCCCCACTGGCCGTGGACCCTCCTCGTTCGGGATGGTGGGGGCACCCGGGAGGAGAGCAGGTGCTGCGGCTGCCCCAAAGGTTGGCCAGCGCCCTGGGGACCGGGCCAAAGATCCCCCCAGGCCCGGCGGGGTTGCGGTGTGGGGGCGAAGGGCGACTCCGGAGGACCCAGATCAGGAAGGGGCCTGGGGGAGGGGTGGGCAGGGGCGCGCAGGGCGGTCACGGGGAACCTTGGACTCTCGGGACGCTGCCCGCGCCGTCGTGGCGCTTGCGTGCAGACCCCATGGAGGCGCTGGGTGGGGGTCAGGCCCCTTCGTGCTGGCCGCGCAGTAGGGTCCGCGATGGCACGGGACCCCCGCCCGCTCCTGCCCCGCCCCCTCCGCAGTTCCCGGCGCGCGCGGCAGGGGGCGCGCCCCTCTCTCGCCGGGGGCCGAGTGTCGCCGGGGCAGAGCCTGGGGAGCAGCCACGTCTCCCGGTCCTCCTCGCCGCCCCCCAGGAGCGCATGGCGCTCCCCAACGGGGCGCGCGGCCCCGGGGGCGGCCGCGGGGGCCACACCAACCGGACCTTCGAGTTCGACGACAGCTGCGTGTCCAGGTACGCGCGCACGCCCTCCCCGCCCAGGGAGTGGGCGCCCGCAGGGCGAGGGGCGCCCACGGGAGCAACCGGTGAGTGCGTCCGTCCGTCGTCCGTCCGTCCGTGGCCCTGCGGGTGCAGCTGCAGTTGGGGCGCTGGGGGCGGGGTCGGCAGCACGGCCGCTCGTCCCCCCTAGTGGCCGTTGTGCCCGTGCCCGGTGCGGTCAGCGCTGGCCAGGCACTCACGCCGCTCCCTGTCCGCAGCATGGTTTCCCGGGAAACTGTGGAAAGCACTCCTGGCACCTCAGTGTCACCTGCCCAGAACAGGCCGGGAGGGACCAGACCCGCAGCACAGAGCCGGTGCAGGGGGAGGTCTCCCCATGGGCGTGCAGGGTCCCTCTCTGTAAGGCCAGGGGCAGAGGGGACACGAACATCACCCATGACCTTGTCATCTGTACCTATCACCTCCCAATGGGCCACTCTGTCCATCTCCAGGATGTGTCTGGAATCAGCCCAGCAGAGAGGGGCTTGGGGCTGTAACTGGCCTGTGTGTTTAGGACTTGAAGTGGTCCCTGCTTAATGGTGACAGGTCAGCAGTTGTGCTGGGGACGTGAGATCACTGCAGAAAGGTGTGGAGAGGGGGTTAGGCGGGGTACCTTGGAGGACAGGCTAGAGTGCCCACTGTAGCCCCATCGTTGGGGCCATCCTCCCCATGTGCTGCATAAGCTCTGGACACGGCTCACAGGCTGCCCAGAGGACCAGACCACCGCCGTGACAGCTCCTGGGGACAGTATAGGGGGCCTGCAGAGGGATATGAGGGTGGGGAGGACTGGCCCAGCAGGAACACTCAGGGTTGAGCCCTGGCCTTGTGGTCCATCCGGGGCCTCGCCACCTGCCCGAGAAATGGGCAGAAATGGGCGCTGCACAGCCCAGGTAGGTCCCAGCCCACAGCTGCCGCCTCCTCTGCCTGTTGGGTACTAACCCTGGGTCCTTTAGGCTTCAGCCATGAATTGCCCCTTTTCCTTCTCCAGAAGAAGCTAACCATGCTCTTGCTAACATCCTTAATTAAGTCAAAGTTTATCTTTAACCTTTCCTTTGTATTTTACTTCTCATTGTCACAGTTCCCCAAGTCAGTCTTAATTACTTATAAGCTAAAACTTTCTGGTAATTCTGGATTTTATATTTGTGCGATTTTGTATTTGAAGTGCTGTGTAATTGTACCTGCTTTTCTATTTCCCCCATAGTCTTTTTATATAGAGTACTGTTCTTTGGTTGGGCTGGAGCAATAGCACAGTGGTAGGGCATTTGCCTTACAAGCAGCCAACATGGCCGACCCGAGTTTGATTCCTCCACCCCTCTCAGAGAGCCCGGCAAGCTACCGAGAGTATCTCTCCCGCATGGCAGAGAGCCTGGCAAGCTACCCGTGACGTATTCGATATGCCAAACATAGTAACAACAAGTCTCACGATGGAGACGTTACTGGGCCCGCTCGAGCAAATTGATGAACAATGGAAGGACCGTGACCATGACTGTTCTTTGGTTAAACACAGAAAGACCATTAATGCTGTGCTCCTAATACGTGGGAGTTGATTGACTCTGAAATATATCTACTCCTGGGCATCTGTCATAATTACTAGACTCAGGCTTCAGTTGCTGTAGTTCTTAACACCCCAAAAGGGAAGCGCTGCCATGGGACTGGGATAGACCCGGGGCGAGTGGTGAAGCTACCCCGGCGTTGAAATGGGACAGTCTAGAGAACATAAACTCATGGTCTTGTGCATGCAAGCTGTTACAACTTAAGAGACAGGACCCCCATGGGGAAGGACAAGCTGAACTGGCTGACGACTTAGTCTGGGATTTGCGGTAAAACCTTGCTTGCTCTCAGAGCCCAGAGAGCTAAGTATTAAAAAGCCTTGCTTGCTCTCAGAGTCCAGAGAAAGAAGTGTTGGGATCTTTGTCTCTTATTGTTTTTATCCAAACAACTGCAAGTATTGATAATATATGCAACTAGAGGGCAAGATGAAAGCAATTTAGATTTCCCCAGGAGACAGTGTTTCCCCAAGAGAATTTCCTATGCTAATGACTTCCTATGTAAATGATCTATGTAAATTTTCAGATGTAAATGATCGATCACATCTAAGTCCTATTCCTCAACCCCCCTCAGATGTTTTATCAGTATGCTAGCAGCTCTGCATTAAACGGGCCATTTTCACCCTCAGGCTGTGGTCCCCGTCTCCCCGTCTCCCTGTCCACCCCCCCACCCCGTCTCCCCATTTCCTTTCTCCCTGTCTCCCTGTATTCTGTCTCCTGTCTCCTGCCTCCCCGTCTCCCGTCTCCCTGTCTCCTATCTCCCTGTCTCCCTGTCTCCTGTCTCCCTGTTTCCCTGTCTCTCCATCTCTCCATCTCTCCATCTGTCTCTCTGCGGGGAGGCCGGGGAAGGCCTGGAAGCAGCTCTGCTCTCACCCGCTCTTACTTAGTGAACTCACACCTGCTGGTGGGTGTCCTCCCGATGCAGCCGCCTGCCCTTAGGGAAGGAGGGCAGGTTCCCAGAGGCTGGCCCTGCTGCTGGATGCCTTGGACAACCCCAGCTTTTAATTACCAAGAAGAGGCAGCTCTTTGCTTTTCTGCGGCGGTCTGCGGGGATGGGCCTTTCCACCGGCTGGCACAGAGCCCAGTGGCACTGCAGTGTCTGCAGACTCCCCTGGGCACCGGCTGTGCAGGCATCATGAACTCATGTGCACACAGGCATTGTACACACACTCCATACATGTGTGTTCATGTAGACATCCTTGTGTGTGCACATTACACACATGCCCAGACATGTACACACCCACATGTACATCCTTGAGCATGCACAGGCACACATACCCACCTGGCATGTGCTGTGCTCCAGCCACGGCTGCTGGGGTTCCAAGCCCGTGGGCGTGCTCGGGCAACTGGGGAGGCCCCTGCTTCTTGGGCTGCCCCCGTGCGGCTGTCCAGGCCCACCTCATTCTGGATGCTGACCAGTGAACCCCCTAGCTGGGACTCAGATAACGCCCCACGGCTCCTTTGCTAATGGAATCTGCTGGTTTACGAATCTTTTGTCCAGTGGCCTTCCTGCTTGCCCCCTTACTTGGCCGTGTGCTGTCTGCAGTCACCACGCCCTCTGGCAGAGCTGCCCAGAGGGTCACACACACACCCACAGCTGGGTGCTGGGGACGGCTCCTGTGCAGTGCTCGGGGGTCCCACACACAAGGTGCAGGATGCTGCTGGGACTTTGCCTGCCGAGTCATGCCTAGCCCTACCTTCACTCTGGTCTCAGGTAAATCCTGTGTGGTGTTAGAGGTGCTGGGGACCTCAGCTGACAGTGCTCAGGGCCATGTGGTGCAGGGTTGAACTTGGACCCTTTGCGTGCTGGACATGTGCTCTGTCCACTGAGCTCAAGGGCCCAGCCGTAGTGCTGTGTGGGATACTCCAGTCTGAGGTGGGAAATAGGTCCACATCGGCCTCAGGAAGGGGGTCAGGAATCAGGGGGATGGTGTGGCTGGGGCTGCCCATTACTGTCCTTCAGACCTACTCACAGGCCCTCTGGCCTCGAGGGGACAGAAGCAGCAAGAGTTCCTGCCATTTGGGGTCCTCTGACTGCACCAGGGCACCAGCCCCCCTCTGCCTGCCTGGGGCCTATTCGGCAATGGGGCCCCACGAAGTCTGTGCCGTGCCGTTCGTGCCCAGACTGGCACACAGCAGCCAGTCCTGGTCCCTGGCGTGGATGAGCATGGGCATGAGCTCCCGGGGCCGGACCCTCTCTTACCCCGGGCCCCTCTAGCTGCGTCTCAGCTCTGCACCCGGCCAGGCTCCCAGAGCGGCTTCCAGCTGCCAAGGGAGACTGTGCGGGGCTGGGCGCCAGGGTCAGGGGTGCATCTGTGGGAGCCCGGCCAGCCCCACAGCCTGATGTTTTGCTAGCGCACTAAACCCAGCCATCTTCTGTCTTCCCAGTGAAGCCTGGGGGTGTTGAGGAGATGGGCTGCCCACAGCCCCACCAGCAGGCCCCGCTGCTCTCAAGCCTGACTGCCCTGTGCTGGGGGCTGGGGACTCCCTGCCTCCTGCTTGCATGCACCCCTCCCCCGCCCAGGTGCTGGGGGCTACCCCAGCCTGAGGGTCATGGTGCCACACGGAGTCTTCAGTCTTCGCTGTCACAGGAGAGGAAGGGGTGTGGTTTGGGGGTCTGGGATCCATGTCTGTGGTTGTCCTCGCTCACCTGGACCCCTCAGCTTCGGCCAGGCTGGGACTCCCTCATCTCCCCACACCCGGAAGCTCTCAGTGACATCGAGTTAGGGTCTCTTCAGACCCCACCTCTTGGGGTGCAGCTGCCAGCACATAGGTCCTGGGCTTCCAGGGGCTCTGCTGGACCCCACAGAGTCACTTCAAGGGACCCTGGGTGCTGCAGCACTGTGAGGGGCAGTCTGGGGACCCCACATGGAGACATGCAGCCTCCTGCCTTGCCCAGAGCCAAGCAGGGCTCCTGAGAGACCCCGCTCTAGCTGGCAGGAGTGAGAGGAGCCCCCAAGGAGCAGTTCATACTGGGGTCCTGCTGTCCCGGGCTCCAGCTCCGAGGGGTGCTCATGGCTGCAGAAGGAACAGCCAAGAAAACAAGGCGGTGCCTGCCCACGGCCCGCTGAGCCAGGAAAGCACTCAGCCACGTGGCTGCACCAAGAACATGTTATTTCTTCAGCACTGCCAAGTCCTGGGGCCTGAGTCCGTGACCCCGAGGCCCTGGGCCCACACTGAGCTCGGCTTGGGTCAGCCGCCTGCCAGGCTCAGGGGCTCTGCTGGGCGGCCCCTGGCGGGGGAAGGGGGCGGAGTTCCACACCAGCCCCAGTGCAAAGTGCCCCAAGCCCCTCCAGAGGGCAGTGGGACCCCACTCTCTAGTGCCTGGACCTCCATTTGTCCCTCTGTGCCTCTAGAACGGGCTCCCCTCTGCTTCTGGTCACTCCTGTCACCAGGCGGTGGCAGGCCCTGGGCACTACCTGTGCCCACCAGGGGGACAGTGAGGCCCTGCACTGCACCCCCTCCCCTCCCCAGTCTGTGAGCCACAGCCAGATCTCAGGGACATGGGCAGTGGGCAGGAGAGATGCTGCCTGGCCCCTGGGGGCTGCTGGTCCCGGGGTCCTCCCGACTGTCCAGGCTGCTCCAGCCTGGCCCAGAGAGAGGGTCGCTGCCACCGCTGCTCACGGCCTGGTGGGACAGGAAGGTTTGCTGGGATCCATTGGGGACCCCACCCCCTACCCCGGCTGTGCCGTTTCTGTTGCCCCCCCACCAGGCACCGGCCAGGGTGTTCTCTTGGGCTCCTGGGCCCCCCGACGCGCCCCCGCAGCCTCGGAGGGCATCTGGGGCCTCAGAAAGCCAAGCTGGGCTGGGCGCAGGCGGCCGGCAGAGCAGGGGGTGGGGAGGGAGGGGGAGCAGCCGCGGGGTCCAGGGGCGGGAGCAGGCGGAGAGAGCCGCGGCCCCCTCATGCCCAGCGCGGCCGCCCAGGGCAGGGCTGAGGGGGCGCTGGCGTGTCCCCGCAGGCAGCCGGGCGCCGGGGACGGTGGCCGTGGGGACGGCGCGCGCCCGGACACCGGCGGCCTCAGCATGAGCGACCTGGACCCGGAGGGGCTGCCCTTGCCGCCGCGGTACCGCTTCCGGGACCTGCTGCTGGGAGACCCCCCCTTCCAGAACGAGGACAGGTAGGCCAAGTGCCCGTCGCCCCCGCCCCCGCGCCGCTGTCCGCGGTGCTGAGCGCGCGCCCGCGCCCCGCACCCCGCAACTTTGGGCTCCCGGACGTAGAAGTTTGGGGGGTGCGGGAGGGGGAAGCCCGGAGCAGGGGCCGGGCGCTGGGTGCCAGGGAGACCCCGGAGACCCACTCCCGCCCCGCCCCCACCCCCTCGCGCGCGGCGCGTGGCTGATCCGCGGCCGCGGGCCGGAAGTGCGCTGTGGGGGGTCGCGCTGTCTGCGTCGCCACTTGTTATTGACTGAGGGCGCTTGTCCTTCGGGCCGGGCTGCGGCCACTTAGCCGGGGGGCCGCTTTCCCGGCCGCCCGCATTCCCCTGGAGCCCTGGAGGAAGGCGCAGAAGCGTTTCGGGGAAGAGGCGGCCAGGAGGCCCCTGGAGGCGGCCGGGCTCGAGGGCGCCGTAGGCTGAGCGAGCGGCAGGAAGCTGCTTTCCCTGCTCTCCCCCAAATAGCTGCTCGGTAAACACCAGTATTCACGGCTGCAGCCTCCGCTGGCGCGGGCTGGGGGCGGGGAGAGCCGGGGACTCCTGGAGCTGTCACCTGTGTGTGCACGAGTGTACCTGAGTGTGCCTGTGTGTCCGTGCCTGTGTGTGCCTCTGTATATGTGTGTGCATTGTGTATTTCTGTGTGCCTGTGTGTTCTTGTGCATACCTTTGTGTACATCTGTCTGCCTGTGTGTGTGTTACCTAAGTGTGCCTGTGGGTACCTGTGTGCATGGGTGTATCTCTGTGTACCTGTGTGCGTTTGTGTGTATATGTGTATGGTGTGTGCCCTCTGTGTGCCTGTGCATGAGTATACCTGACTACGCCTGTGCATGTGTACCATGTGCACCGTGTGCATGCACATCTGTGTGTGTTTGTCTTGTTCACAAGTGCGCATCTGTGTGTGTGCATGTGTTTCTATTTGCTGCGGGTGGAAGGCTGGGGGGTATCTACAGGTCTAACCCTTCAGCCCTGGACTGACCATTTCATCAGCATTTCTCCCAATATTTGATTTTCGAGTTTGCAGCAGAGCAGGAAAGGCTGAAAACTGTCAGGGTGCCAACAGTACTTAGAATGAGTCTAGGAGACTCTTTTAGAGGCACGCTATGGGCAGGTGCTGGGAGCTGCTCAGGTGTGGGGCAGTGTGGCAGCCAACCTCATGCAGGCCAGCTCCTGACAGTGCATCTCCTAAGGAAGTTGACCTGTCGCCTCTGGCCTGGTTGCCGTCCAGTGACGCCCACACAGAAAGACGTCCCTCAGGGCGGGGTTCAGAGATAGGACTGGAGAGGTTTGAGGTGAGACTAGGCTGTGCCCAGCTGTCTCGAATTTGCAGGGGGCAATGAGGAAGTCCTGCAAGAGTTCCCTGTGGGGAAAGGAGTGCTGGGATGGGGCTGGACTCCAGGCATGGGGAAGAGTGTGCTGGGATGGGCGGGGCTCCAGGGAGGGGGAGCAACGTGCTGGGATGGGCGGGGCTCTAGCCCAGGGGGCGGAGCGTGCTAGGATGTGTGGGGCTCCAGGGAGGTGGAGGAGAGTGCCAGGATGGGTGGGGCTCCAGGGACGGGGAGGGGCCTGCTAGGATGGGCGGGGCTCTAACAGACAGACTGACAGTGCCAAGTGGGTAGCTTATCCTGGCGGTGACCTGGCTCTGCTGCACAGCACAGGGGTGAGGGACCTCCTTGGGCAAGGGGACTCCCTTGCAGCCGCGCGGGGCTGGGCCCCAGCTCCACAGTCTTGCCCTGCTGTGCGGGTCTGCCTCCAGCCCTGCAGAGCAGCAGTATGGGCCAGCTTGAGGGGCGGTCCAGGCAGGTCCCTACAGTTCTTGGGACAAAGGCACAGCAATGATTCACACCTTGGCTTCAGCGGAGGCGGCAATGTGCGGCCTCTCCTGGGAATGAGGACCCAGGAGGTGAGGGTGGGCCTCACCTGTCGGGCCCTTCAGCTTTCCCAGAGCGCGGGGCAGGGGCCGCTGTAAGCCCAGAGCAACAGGAACAGGCTTGGTCTGGCCCCAATCCAGGCGGCAGGGCAGGAAGGGCAGTCCCTCCGCCCCCTACACAGAGTTGCCTCACCTTGGGTCTTAGACCTGCCCCGGCTGCACACCCAGTGGACTCACTCAGCCAACGGGACCAAAGAACTCAGAACTCAGAACTCAGCACTGTCTCTCTCCTCTGTCTGCCTACAGGAGGGAGTGTGACCGCAATTGGGCAATAGCGGCTATTTGTCCGCACACCAGGCGGGGGAGCGCCTGCAGGGGTCCAGGGTCCAGAGGCTGTCTGTCATGGGCCCTGGGGGGTTCTGGCGCAACTCCTCAGGGAGGTGGGGGCCACACCTCCAGGCAGTGTTCCTCTCAGACATGCTGTGGAGCCTGCTTTGTTTGTCTCAGCGGCGGGGCCTTAGAGACATTCGTAGGAGACTGTGACGGCCTTGCATGTGGTGTTGGTCCCCACTGTGTTGTGTGTTGTGAGGAGACCTCCGTTCACTTGCCCGTTGAGCGACATGGACACGAGGGGGAGGGGAATCCTCGCCCCAGGTGTTTTCTGAGTTCTGTGGTCCCGTTGGCGGAGTGAGTCCACTGGGTGTGCAGCCGGGGTAGGGGGCGGTACAGGCGAATCAGGTAGGGGGCTTCAGAGTACCAGGAGGTGGGAGTCGCTGGGTTGGGGGTGCTACAAACTCTCCATGGACCGTGACCAGGACTGGAGTGATAGGACAGCAGGGAGTGCATTTGCCTTGCACGTGGCTGACGGGGGTTTGATCCCCAGCATCCCATTGGGTCCCCCAACCCCCGCCAGGAGTAATTTCTGAGTGCAGAGCCAGGAGTAAGCCCTGAGCACTGCCAGGTGTAGCCCCAAAACCAAACAAATAAACAAGCTGTGATCAGGCGTTCCGCCAGGGTGAAGCGGGCTGTTTGTGAGCTGCTGGCGTCAGGAGTAGGGGAGGGCGTGGGAAACGCTGGAGGAGGGCGGGGCTGCTGGAGTCTCCTCTCGAGAGACACGCTGGAGGAAGGTGGGGCTTCTGGAGGGGGGCGGGGCGAGGCTGGAGGAGGCGGGACAGGCTGGAGGAGGGCGGGGCTGCTGGAGTCTCCTCTCGAGAGACACGCTGGAGGAAGGTGGGGCTTCTGGAGGGGGGCGGGGCGAGGCTGGAGGAGGCGGGACAGGCTGGAGGAGGGCGGGGCGAGGCTGGAAGAGGGCGGACAGGCGGGGGGAGGGGGGACAGGCGTGGGGGGGGAGGGGGAGGTGGGGACAGGCTGGGGGGAGGTGGGGACAGGCTAGGGAGGGACAGGTTCCAGGAGGGTGGGTCAGGTGGGAGGAGGGAGGGGCCAGGCTGGGGGAGGGTGAGGCCAGGCTGGGGGAGGTGGGGCCAGGCTGGGGGAGGCGGGGCCAGGCTGGGGAGGCGGGGCCAAACTGGGGAGGCGGGGCCAGGCGGGGGAGGGCAGGGTGGGACAGGTTCCAGGAGGGTGGGTCAGGCGGGAGGAGGTGGGGCCAGGCTGGGAGAGGGCGGAGCCAGGCTGGAGGAGTGTGGGACAGGCTGGAGGAGGGAGGGGCCAGGCTGGGGGAGGGTGGGGCCAGACTGAGGGAAGGCGGGGCCAGGCTGGGGGAGGTAGGGCCAGTCTGGGGGATGTGGAGCCATGCTGGAGGAGGCAGGGCCAGGCTTGGGGAGGCGGGGCCAAACTGGGGAGGCGGGGCCAGGCGGGGGAGGGCAGGGTGGGACAGGTTCCAGGAGGGTGGGTCAGGCGGGAGGAGGTGGGGCAAGGCTGGGGGAGGGCGGAGCCAGGCTGGAGGAGTGTGGGACAGGCTGGAGGAGGGCGGGGCCAGACTGAGGGAAGGCGGGGCCAGGCTGGGGGAGGTAGGGCCAGTCTGGGGGATGCGGAGCCATGCTGGAGGAGGCAGGGCCAGGCTTGGGGAGGCGGGGCCAAACTGGGGAGGCGGGGCCAGGCGAGGAGGTGGGGCCAGGCGAGGAGGCGGGGCGGCTGGAGGAGGGCTGGGCACGCTGACCAGTGTTGCCTGCCGCTGCCTCTCCCAACCACTCACTTTCTGACGCTTTGCCGTGGAATCTTCATGGCGCCTCTGCACATAGACTCTTAGGCCATGTGAGGGCCGAGTCCCCCTCGCCCTCTTGGGCGCCTTTATTCCCCTTCTGCCTGTTCACCCGGCCGCCTGACTGGACACGGTGAACCGCCGGGCGCCCACCGGCCTCCTGAGGCAGAGCAACCGCCTACCGTGGCCTCACCACGGTGTGGCGCCGCCTACTCAGACTCCACTGAGGTATTCTCCTTTTGTTCGACTTTTTATTCGGGCCACCCTCAGTGGCCTCAGAGAAATACCTGGGGCTGAGGTACTGGGCCCGACTGGGGTCTTCAGACATGCTGTGCTCGGCCCTTGAATCACATCCTTGAGTAGTTCTTCATCCTGAGCACTACTGGACTTTCCCCGTGCTCTTCCTCAGCCCCTGAGGTAGCGCGGGTTGTTTTTCCCCTCGACTGGTTAATGTGATGTATCACACCATTTCCTCTTTGAACCGTCCTTGCATTCCAGGAATGTGCCCTCTCGGCCCACATGATGACCCTCCCGTGCCTGGGTCCTGGCGTCCAGTGCAGGCTGACAGTGTGCCTGAGGGAAGTGGTCGGCTCAGTGTTTGATGTTCTTATGTGGTTTCAGCGTCAGGGCGTGCTTGCTGTCTGGCAGAATGGGTCCCTGAAAGTCGCCTCCTCTGGGTTTGGGGTCAAGTTCAAGGAATGGTGTTGGTTCTTGAGAAGGCAGGTGGAGTGGGCTGTGGCGCCTGGGGACTGGGGACTGGAGGAGGGCTGGGCACGCTGACCAGTGTTGCCTGCCGCTGCCTCTCCCAACCACTCACTTTCTGACGCTTTGCTGTGGAATCTTCATGGCGCCTCTGCACATAGACTCTTAGGCCATGTGAGGGCCGAGTCCCCCTCGCCCTCTTGGGCACCAGAGCCCAGTCTCCCTGCAGCTCCATTGCAGGCGCTGCCCCTTCCTGTGGGCGCGGGGGGCTCTGCTCCTTGTCTGGGGGCCAGGAGCAGAGTGCCCACATCCTCTCCCTTAGTGACCTGAGTCTTTCTCTTTTATTCCATCTGCCACAAGTTGGTCGGTTGTGTTCATCTTCCGAAGACCCAGCGCTGACTCCCTAGGTTTTCTCATTTCTGGTGCCTTTCTCGCCCCGGGACCTTTGTCATTTACTCTGTTCCAGGAACTTTGAGAGCATATGCCCCTTTCGACCCGACCCCATTCCAGATCCCATATTACCTACCCTGTGGAGAGTGTCCCCAGCTGCCCCCCAGACTTCCTGCAAACCACCAGCCACCCTGCGGTCCACCCATTGGTGAGGATGCTCGGGGGTCTCCAGCTGCAGGGTCTTCCTGAGGACCCTCAGCACCCCCACCCCCAAAGAGTGGCGGCCACATCCGTCCGAGTGAAGTCACTCACCGCAGACCCGGGGTCTCTGAGCTTTCGTGCCCCTTCCAGAAGCTTCTTTCCTGGAAGGGGAGGTCTCCTGGCTCAGCACGGGGACAACCGCCCAAGCCCACGTCCTGGGGGTTGCTTGCTTGTCCTCTGCGCCCCCAAACCTTCTTGTCTGGAAGCTGGTGAAAGTGGCCCTGCTCTGGCCCTGCTTCTGGGCTTTGCGCTCCGGCCTTCTTGGTGCTTCGCCTTAAATCCCAAGATAGCAGGGGTGGGGTGAGGTGAGGTGGGGTTGGGGGCCTGAACAAGCTGCAATTGGCCCCCTACCCCAGCCTCTGCACTGCTTGGCATTGGCAGGGGGAAGGAGGGAAAGACTCTCCTTGTGTCTGGGGTTCAGAGACAGCCTCTGCTGTCAGAGGCCTGGCTGGTTCTAGGGACTATTCTCAGCCTCGTCCCCAGCAAGCGATGCAGGAGTGCGGTGTGTACGCGCGCAGTCTCAGTCTCACGGACCCCTGTGGGGTGCCGAGCACCCATGCTTGTCTTTGAAGTATTTCCCGCTCCTCTCCCTCCCTCCCTCTTTCCTTCTCCCTCTCTCTCTCCCCTCCTCCCTCTCTACCTTATTCTCCCTCTCCCTCCCTCCCTCTCCCTTTCTTTCTCCTCCCCCTCTTGCTCACTCTCAGTCTCCCTCCTCCCTTCCCCCCTCCTTCCTGCCTTTGCACATGTTAAACCAAACAGCATAAACCATCACTGTCTGGCTCCACAGGCCTCAGCTCATTCGCAGTGGGGAGGGGTGCAGTGTCCCCACGCTGACCCCAGGACCTCGCATCCTCCACACAGTACCTGCCCTGGTCCCCAGAGGAGAGGAGCACCCTCAGCAGAGCCCCTGCCCCGGGTTCCTGGGCTGTGGCAAGACCGTTAAGCTACGGGCAGCTGCGCTAGGCAGGTGGATGGACCCCCCAGCACACGTGTGTGCTGCATATACACAGTAAACGCAGATAACATGCACACGTCTGCACGCAGAGACCCGCACTTACCTGGGGCACACACAGCACCCGCGCGGGCTGGGGGCCCGAGGCTGCGGCCCGCCCGGCTCACCTGGACCGGCCGGGTGGGGCGGGAGGGCCCGGGGGCAGCCCGCGGGGCCGGCGCCGCCCCCTCGGCCGTTCCACTGCGCCGCTCGCGGGGGTCCCCCGCCGCCGAGATGGTAGCGCCCGCCGCCCCCGCCAGCGCTCCCGCAGGATGGCGCGGGCCAAGCTGCAGCGCTCGCCGTCCGAGGGCAAGGCGGGCCCGGGGGGCGCCCCGGCCGGAGCCTCGGCCCCCGACGAGCCGCACGGGCTGAGCCCGCTGCTGCCGGCCCGCGGCGGGGGCTCCGTGGGCAGCGACGTGGGCCAGAGGTAGGGGCGCGGGCGACCGCCGGGAGGGTTGGCACCGCCGCTGCACCCCGCACGCGCTCGGCTCCCGCACCTGCTCGCCGCCTGCGCCCCGCGAGGGGCTCGGCCCGCGGAGGGGACGGCCGGGAGGGGACGGCCCGGAGGGGATGGCCCCGAGGAGACAGACCCGGGGACCGCCCCCGGGGGTGGGGACAGACCGGGGAGGGGACAGTCGGGGAAAGAGGACAGTCCCACGGAGGGGACAGATGGGGGAGTCAAACAGCTTCGGGGAGGGGGAGAGCCTTTGGGGAAAGGGACAGCTCCAGGGACAGCCCTGGGCAGGGACAGTCCACGGGGACAGGATGGGGCGGCCCGCGGGGTCTGGTCCCGGTCGGCACCAGACTTGGGAGGCGGCTGCAGTCAGGCACCCCTGGCCTGCAGTGGTGGCAGCTGAGGAGAGGCGGCCTGAGAGGCGGCCCCAGGGCGGTGCACCCGCACCCGTTCCATGGGTGCTGGGGCTGTGCGGGGGCCTGGGGCCCCATCCATCCTCCTGGAGGCTGCGTGGGATGAGAGCTGCCCTGTGTGGGCACGCACTCCATGGCACAGACCGGGAGCTGCATGGGCAGGTGGAGGTTGGGGTGCCCTGGGCATCCTGAAGGGACCCAGGGAGTGGACATCGGGCACTGGGCACCTGACGGTCAGGGAGGGGCGCGACTGTGCCAGCCTTGGAAGCCCTCAGACTGGCAGATGGAAGGGCAGAGGGCCTCGCCACCCTCCCTCCCTCCTGGCCACTCCCCGCCTCACACCCATTTCCTGCTCATTCCTGGCCCTGCTGGCCCAGGCAGTGGTAAGTGCTTCTTACAGCACTTGTGGCCCCAGCAGCTAATGGGCAGCCCTGGGCAGGGCCCCGACACAAAGGCAGCCTCTTCCTAGACTCCCGGGGCAGTGGTGCAGAGCTGTGTCCTGCCCCCTCCCCCCCCCCCCCCCGGGGCTGCAGGGGCTCCCAGGAAGCCATCTCCATGCACACGGGATGCCGCTTCAGGGGAACAGTCCCGGGCCCCTCTCTCCAACACTGCCCAGACCCCTCAGGGCCCCTCCCGTCTCTTCTTCTGGCAGACTCCTGGGATGCTCCGCCAGAGGAAGGGAGAGTGAGCACTCGCGGCCAGGGCTGGGCGCCTTGGGGCTGCCAACTCAGGGTTCTTGCCCATCAGGATCTTACTCCTGGGCAGCCTTGCCAACTGGAGGGGGCAAACAGGTGCCAGGGAGGTGCTTCTGGCAAGTGAGAGTGGGGGTGAGGGGAAGGAGGGCACCCTGGAGGAGGTGGTCCAGGCGCAGGCGGAGTGAGGGGGTGGGTGTCTGTCGGGTGTGTCTCTCTGGCATTGGAGGGACACCCCGGGTGCTGAGATACGCACACCCTTCGGGAGATCAGCAGGCTGGAGCCTCTTGGGGCTGTCCCTGTGGAGCGCAGCCCCAGGCCCTGGGCGTCTGGATGCTGCAGACCAGTGGCGACAGTCTCCTGGCCTTGCCGAGATGCCGGGTCCCTTCGCGGCCTTCCAGACAGTGCAGTGCACAGGACCCTGGCGGAAACCTCCACGGTGTCCCCTGCCCACTTCCATGAAGGGCAAGCCTAGGGGTGCTTCATGGGGGTGCACAGGGGCCGAGGCAGGAGCTCTGTGGGGGTGGGCCCTCCATGGGGAGCACGGCTGGACAGAGGCTGACTGCCCGAGCCTCGTGTGCTCAGCCCCAGGGCCCCACGTGGCAGTTGCAGGGGGCATCTGCGAACCAAGGATCCTGAGGGCAGGCCAGAGCTGCTTCACACACACCAGGGCTCCCCACCTCCTGCCCTCGGCCCACCTGGGCTGGGTCCCTCTGGGTCCTTCCCTCCTGGCTGGACCCCAGGCTCCCATGCCCAGGCCCCGCGGGACGGAGCTGCTGTGACCGGGGAACTGCCCCGTCCCCCTTAGATTCCGGCTGCCCGGTCCCACATCGCACCCACCGAATCGTCCCCCAGGCTGTCTAGTGCCTCGTCACCCCAGGAGCCAGCTCGAACAGGGAGCATGAGGGTTGCACAGTCCAGGAGGACCCAACTTCTGATCAGGCTGTCACCCACTGCCTGTGACCCTGGAGGGCAGAGCTGCCCTCTGGGCCTGGGTCCCCTCCTTCTGCTGCTTGGCTGGGGTGCTTGTTCCTGGGGTGCGTGCATCTCCCTGGCCCTTGGCTGCTTCTCAGGCTGTGTGGGTCCCGTGGGTCAGGGGACACAGGCGCCCTGCCTCTCTGGGCCGCAATGCTGCCCGTGCATCTGCTCACACCTGGCCTGGAGCCCGGGCCCTCCTTCATCCGTCTGTCCATCTGTCTGCCTGCCTGTCCATCCGTCCTCCTGTTGACCATCACTCCGTGTCCCCAGGCCTCAGGTGGAAGATTCCAGCTTGGACTCCTCCCAGCCTCAGTAAGTGGGGTGCCCGCAGGGGGCTGAGAAGGACTCTCAGACCTCACAACCATGGGAAGGCAGCCTGGGACTCTGCGGGAGTCCCTGCTCGGAGCAGCGGAGAGGCAGAGTGCCCCATTCACACACACCCTGCTCTGACCCAGCAGGACAAGGCCAAAAGTGCCCGCTGTTCCCCTGGCCCGTCCATGGTGGCCTCGGGAGCCCCTGGCACAGGCCATCTGTGCCCACCTGTTCCTGGCCTGCCCGACCTGTCCTGTTTATCCCCCAGTGTCCCTGGCCTGTCCTGCTTTGTTCCCGCAGCCTGTCCTGGTCTGTCCTGTTTGCCACCCTGGCCTGTCCCCGGCCTGTCCTGGTTTATCCTGTCTAGCTTATCCCGACCTGTTTTGGTCTGGGCCCCAGTGGCCTGACTTCTGCAGGAGGAGCTGGCTGTGGGCCTCCACCTGCCCACTGGACAGCGCCCCTGCTGGCATGCAGGGGATCTACAGGTCCACCTGGGGCGGCCAGAGCAGGGACACAGGCAGGTGAGCCCGCCCCACCCCAGCTCTCGAGTCTTCTCACCTGGGATGGGCCGCAGGGGCACAGAGCCCTGTGCTTCAGGGCAGTCCCCATGTCTGGCCAGGTGCTGGCCAAAGCCCTCTGACAGGGTGGATCACTGTGGCTCCCTCCTGGCCCCCAGCTGAGCATCCACGTGGCCAGGATGGGCTGGGCTTGGTGCAGTTTTGGGCTCTTCTGGGGCCCCCACGAGGCCGCCAGTGCATGCTGGAGAATCATGTCTGCTCTGGGCCCCTATGGCACCTGGCAGTGGGCCTCACACTGCTGAGGCCCCGCAGGACGCCCGAACTCCACCACATCATCTGCTAGTGGGACAGAGGCAGAGGTGAGTGGAGGGATGCAGGGGTGTGGGGTGAGTGCAAGAACACGGGGGTGGCAACAGGGGTGAGTTCAGGGATTCTGGGATGATTACAAGGGTGCAGGATGAGCAGACTGCCAGGTACAGAGGTGAATGCAAAGATGGTGGGGTGAGCACAGGGGCAGGTGTTGGGGTGTTGTTAGGGGTGATGCAGGGGTGATCTCAGGAATGCGGGGCGACAGGGTGAGTGCAGGGATGCAGGCATTAGTGCAGGGATGCAGGGGTGAGTGCAGGGATGCAAAGGTGAAGGCAGGGGCAGGGGTGTTGTGTATAGGGATCTATTCAGGGAAGCAGGATGGTGCAGGAATACAGGGGTTACAACAGGGTTGAGTGTTGGGATTCAGGGATGAGTGCATGGATGTAAGGGTGAGGGGTGAGCACAGGGCTAGGTGCAGGGGTGTTGTGTAGGGGTGAATGCATGCATGCACGGTGAGTGCAGGAGTGCAAGGATGATAGCAGCAGTGAGTACAGAATGCAGGGGTGAGTGCAGGGATGCACGGGTGAGCACAGGGGCAGGTGCAGGGAGAACACCCAGGGACACGCCTGTGTCATCCCCAACCTCTCCTCCCTCCTCTCCCTGCACCCCCTTTGCCTCCCTTCCTCCCATGAGCTTCAGGCCAAGAGCCTTCCTGTGGGCTGGTCCCTGTGTGTCCGGGACCAAGAGCCCCCAGCGAGAGCAAAGGGCACCCACCAGGGCCAGGCGCCGCCATCGGTCTCTGGGACGTCTTTCTTGGGCACCACCAGGGGTGTGGCACTGCACATGCCCGCCTCTCACAATGCTCCAGGCCCTGGAGTCAGAGCTGCAGCTCTGCCCACACCCGCTCTGCTGCCGAGGCACACCAAAGGGTGGGCTCTGCTCCTGCCCAGAGTTGCCCTATGCCAGTGAAACTCCAGGAGGGAAATGAACAGCTGGAATGTGCTGGCGGCCACGGTGTGAGCGAGGCTGTGGCCGCAGTTGTGGAAATGTAAGCCCATGCTTCCTTGTGCCTGGCACCGCCAGGCTCGGCCCCGTGGAGGGTAACTTGAGCCTGAGAGAATGGGGCACGTGAATGGAACAGGACTGGACTCCAGTCCTGACCCATGGGGCCTGGGCAGGGACTTCCCATGGACAGTATTGGCGGGACGATTCTGGGTTCTCATCTCAGAACAGGAAGCAGGGTGGAGCCGGGGGGGTCTGTGGCCCTGTGCCTGGTCTTGGGTGGGGCGGGCCCAGGGGGGTGCAGCTGGAGGTGTGTTGTGGCAGGTGGCTGAGCAGGAACTTGCCTCGGTGTCGGGGAGCAGGTGGGAGGGCCTTGGGCTCAAGGCAGTGGGCATTCGGGAAAGGGGCCTTGGGAGCAGGCAGGGGCTGGGGTGGGAAGTCTCCTGGGGCACATTGAGGGGGTGTCAGAGCTAGGGCAGGAGGGGGCCACCTCCCTGGAGCTCTATTGTGACTAGACCAGGGAGAACTAGAAGCAGGTGCTGTGAGGACCTGGCTACTCCGGAATGCCCGGACCCACCAGCCTGTCCAGGGGGGCTTTCTTTAGCCCCCAGAGACCCTGGAACAAACCTGCACAGGACCGGGCTCAGGAAGGGGATCTGTGCAGGGAGCTCTGAGGTGCAGCAGTGATGGGATGCAGGGGTGACAGGGTGCATGGGCGTCGCGGTACAGTGGTGACAGGGTGTTGGGGTGCAGGGGTGTCGGGGCGCAGGGATGACAGGGTGCAGGGATGCAGAGGTGTCACGGTGCAGGGGTGATGGGGCACAGGAGTGTCGGGGCACGGGGTGACAGTGCAGGGTTGATGGGGTGCAGGAGTGACGGGGTGCAGTGAGTTTCTTGGTGGTGTGGTTCAGGGTGCAGGGGTTTATGAAGTATAGTGGGTTCAGTGGGGTGCACTGGGTGTGGTGGGGTGTTCTGAAGCAGTGGGGCATGTGGAGTATACCTGTGCTTATCTCATCATGGGGCAGTGAGACCCATAGCAATGCCAAGACTGTGGGGGACAGTGGTGGGCAGAAGCACCCGCACAGGTAAAAGGTCCACAGGGTGTCCGGACCCAGGTTTGTCCCCACTGTGTGCACCTTGGGATGCACTGGGGCATCTTCTGCTGGGCCCCGTGGCCTGTTCTAGTACACTGAAGGGATGGGGTGCCCAGGACTGATGGGTAAGCAGCTCGTGGGGGGAACTGCTGACCTGGTGGGTTCCAGGCCACAGCCCTCGGGGCCAGCAGGGTGACCAACTATTGGCTTCTGGAAGGTTCTGGAGAGGAGAGACGGTGTGTGCTCAGGATGCTATGTGCTGAACAGGCAGCAGGGACCTCAGGGCCAGCTCAGGTGGGGTCCCTTGCAATGCCCTCTGCCCTGCCTGCCCCTGGACTCGCTGGCCCCATGTCCCGCCCTGCCCCATAGGGTCCAAGTAGAGTTTTATGTCAACGAGAACACATTCAAGGAGCGGCTGAAGCTGTTCTTCATCAAGAACCAGAGATCCAGTGAGTGGGGCCTGTGCCGGGGCAGGGGGGGATGAGCCCGTGAAGACTCTGCCTGGGGGATTCCGGCAGGAGCCTGACCCCCTTCCCGCAGGCCTGAGGATCCGGCTCTTCAACTTCTCGCTGAAGCTGCTCACTTGTCTGCTCTACATCGTCCGCGTGCTGCTGGAGGACCCAGCCCAGGGCATTGGATGGTGGGTGTGCGCGGGTGCCCGCGGGCTGGGCCCCTGAGCACGCACACGTGCAAGCATGTAGGTGCACGGGCAAGACGGCCAGGAAGGTCTCGGGGGCACCCTACCCTTTGCCCCGCGCTCCCCCCACTGCCCTGCTTCCCATCTTGTGTGCAGAGGGCCTCCCAAGAGGTGCTCCGAGCCAGCCGGCTCCACTTGGTATTGCGGGGGGTCAGCTGGCGCCCTGGTTCAGGGCTGTACCTGATGGACCCAGAGCCATGCAGGGCCTGCGACAGGACCTGGTCCCTGCATGCACAAGTCCCTGACCCTTTCACGAGGTGAGGGGGATTGAAGCTGGCACTCCTGCGAGAGCTCCAGCCCCCTTCTTTTGTTCTTTTTGGGGATCTCTTAACTGCTCTCCTGATTCTGATTTCCGGGCATCCATCACCTCCATGTCCTCTTGCTTCCAGCATGCATTGTCTCCCCACATTTCCAGTGTCTGTGGGGGACGGCCACGGCCCGTAAGCACAGCTGCGCGCCCACTGCTGCTCCTTCTGTGCTGCCCTCACATGTGCCCTGGTGCCACCTGAGGGCCGTGTACCAGTGGGAGGCCTGCCTGTCCACCCCATCTTCCCTCAGTAAGCTGCTCCCTGCTAGCAAGCTGCTCAGGGCCGAGTCGGCCCTGGGCCCCGGCCCTGCCCCCAGACTCCTGGGCAGGCCTGTTCACAGCCCGGTGGCTACTCCCTGACTCACCTGAGTGCACACCTTCAGGATGGGCATGACTGATGCACCATGTGATCGGTGATTCCCAGCCCCCTTCCTGGGCTCTCCCACTCCGGGAGTCTAGTGAGTCTAGTGAGTCTACACATGCCGGGTGTGTATCCTCATCACAGACCCTGACACAGGGGTGTTCGGAGGAAGGGCTGGAGGAATGGAGGGCCGGATGGACAGGGCGATGGGCAGACAGATGGAGGCCGATAGGACAGTGGATGGATGGTGGGCTGGGAAATGGGCAGGATGGGGATGGGCGGTTGGCTAGAGGCAAAATGGTGGTGGGGAGGCACGGGGAGACACCCAGGAGGGCAGGACTGTCTGGAGGAAGTGGAGTGGAGAGCCCAGGGCTATGCGGGCATGGAGCTGAGGGGGGCAGTTTCGGGTCAGCCCAAGGGCGAGAGTATGCCCCTGCCTGGCCTGGTCTGGGGAGGGAGGCCCCACTGTCCTCGTCTACCTTGGCCATGCCTGGGCCTCCCCCAGCCCCCCACCTGAACGCAGCTGTCCTGAGGCCTGAGGGGTGAGACTGCCTTAACACCCCAGTGTTCGGACAGGCCCTGGGTTCGAAGACGGTGCCCTGGGAAGGCTCCTTGGGGACCTAAGCTTGGCCAGCTCTCTCTCCACAGCTGGGGTTGCCCGAAGCAGAATTACACCTTCAATGAGTCATCATCTGACATCAACTGGTGAGCCCGCCCCTTCCCAGAGCCCCGCCTCCATACCACACTACCCCACCCCTTCCCCAGAGGCCCCGCCCATACATGCAAAGCCCCACCCCATTCACAGGACCCCGCCCCTTCCCCAGAGGCCCCGCCCTCCAGCCTGAAGGCCCCAGCCCCTGCCCTTCCTTTCCTTCTGGCTGGCCTCTGGGGTGGTGTTCTGCAGTGTACTGGTCAGGCCACACCTGCCTGCAGGGTGCAGCAGCCCAGGTCCTCAGGAACAAGTGAGGAATCAGCAGCTGGACCCAGCCCCCACCTTGTGGACCCTCCCGTGGGGTTCCGAGTTTGGGGTATGGGGAAGCAGAGATCCCTGTGAGTCTGCTGCTTCTGCAACTCACGTTCCATGGCCAGGACAGCGGGTGCCACTGAGAAGGCGGGCAGTGACCCTGACTGACAGGCCTGTTCCGAGCTTGGACACACTTGCAAGTTCCCCCTTCCCCTGGGTGCCTCAGTCCCTGGCACTCGCAGGCCCTCCCAGGACAGGGCAGATGCCCCTGGGGGTGCCCTGCTGCTGCCTGACTCCCTCTGTGCTCAGGGCACCCATCCTGTGGGTGGAGAGGAAGGTGGCCCTGTGGGCCGTCCAGGTGAGTGGGGCCCGGTCTGGGGTGTGGTGGACTGTGCCCAGCCACCCCGCCACCCCGGCACCACCCAAAGATGCCCCTCGCCCTCCAGGTCATCGTGGCCGTGATCAGCTTCCTGGAGACCATGCTCCTCATTTACCTCAGTTACAAGGTGAGAGGCGGGGGGTGGGGGGGTGGGGGGCGCTGCTTGCCCCCAGCCCACCAGCGCTGAAGCCTCTTTGCCCCCAGGGAAACATCTGGGAGCAGATATTCCGCGTGTCCTTCGTCCTGGAGATGATCACCACACTGCCCTTCATCTGCACAGTGGGTGACGGCCAGCCCTGCGGGGAGGCCAGCCCCAGCCCCGCGTCCTCACCCGCATCTCCCCACAGATATTCTGGCCACCGCTGCGAAACTTGTTCATCCCCGTGTTCCTCAACTGCTGGCTGGCCAAGCATGCCCTGGAGAACATGATTGTAAGGGGCGGGTAGGGGCGAGCCGGGGTGCCTGGGGCACAGGGAGACTCTCACAGGGAGAGTCCACATCGGCCAGTGTCACGTGGCCAATGGGAGCACAGAGCCCCTCATGCAGGCCAAGCAGGGGTCCCCGCAGGAGACACAGGGCACTCACCCCAATTTTCCCTGCCCTGGGGCATGGTGGCAGGGAGGAGGGAGGACCACCAGGGGCCCCCAACACAAACCCAGGGCCCCCAGGACCCTGTGACTTGGTCCCCCAAGCCAGCCCCACGTGACCCAGAGCCATCAAACATGGCCACCCGGGCCAGGGCTGCTCACAGTCCTCTGCTGGACGCCTGAAGGGGCATCTGGAAGAGTGGCAGCCCACGGGGCCCTAGACACCAAATGCCCGGCCCCTGGCTGGCAGCAGCGGCTCACGCCCGGCTTGCGGTGCCCGTCCCTAGAATGACTTCCACCGTGCCATCCTGCGCACGCAGTCGGCCATGTTCAACCAGGTGCTCATCCTCTTCTGCACCCTGCTGTGCCTGGTCTTCACGGGGTGAGTGTGGGCAGGGGAGCAGGGCCCCAGCTCCACCCACTCCTGTCCCCCACACCCTCACACAGCCTCAGTAGGATGGGCTGCCGGGGGAGGAAGTTCCTGGGTGGCCCAGCTCTCCCCAGTGACCATGTCCATCTGTCAGTCTGGCTGTCCTAGGCCCTGTGGGCAGCACCTCCCAGTCTGGGTTCCAGGCAGGGCCACGGAGGGGGAGCCATGCCAGCCCCCAAGCCCCGCTGCCCAGCAGAGCCTCCAGCAGGGGGTCCCGCGGGTGACTGGGGGTGACTGGGGGTGACTGGGCCTCCCAGGACTTGCGGGATCCAGCACCTGGAGCGTGCGGGCGAGAACCTGTCGCTGCTCACCTCCTTCTATTTCTGCATCGTCACCTTCTCCACTGTGGGCTACGGCGACGTCACCCCCAAGATCTGGCCCTCACAGCTGCTGGTGGTCGTCATGATCTGTGTGGCCCTGGTGGCACTGCCGCTGCAGGTGGGTGGGGCCAGATGGGCCTCCTGGCCTGGGGTGGGAGGGGAGGAGTAGCCAGACAACCCCCGGTTCTCCCTGGCCTTGTCACAGCAACCTGGGTGAGGAGCCCACGTCAGGGACACAGGGGGCAGCCCCCACCGGCCTACCTCCCCTTCCTCCCTGCCCCTTTCCTGTGGTGCAGAGCCCCACGACCTCCCAGCACATGCCCTTGGCTGCACAGGTCAGGTCACGTGGCACTTCATACTCCTATGTCTCACGCTGTTTGTGACCTTTCCGACATGTGCCGAGTTTTATGTCTGATGATGCGTTTGCATTATATTTGAAGCCATATTTTTACGACAGAATTACAAGTTTCCAACATAGTTATTCCAAGTTAGAACTGACGTGTACACATGTGCGCGTGTGAAGTGAAACCTGTCACCCTTGCCTGTCATTCTGTGTTCTTTCAAGCTCACATGCACCTTTGGGGCCCAGGGACCGCAGGACAAAGGGGGGTCATGTCCCCTGGTTGATTGTGCCTTCCACCCCATGCGGACACGGCCATTTCCCGAGGGAACCTTCCTCATGTGGCCATTCGGCGCTGCTCCTCTGTCCCGCCGTGGAGTGGGCTGGGCGACAGAGGAGGGGATGAGGCCCGAAGGCTGAGACAGTCCCCATCCCACTTCTCCCAGGCCCTCCAGGCCTCCAGTTCAGTTCCCCTGGAGGTGGGAGCTTACCTCAAGGTGGGAGCTGAGACCACCCAAGAAGGCACAGAAAAACCAGTCTCCCTCGGAGACCTGGGCCTGAACTTGGGGTGCTCAGGGTCCATGCCAGCCCTTCATGACCGTCCCAGGACTAGGGCACCCAGCCCTGCCTGAGCTCCCACCTCACTACATCTACAAAGATACTCCTACCAGCCGACTCTTGGAGGTCTGGGTGGTGGCTCTTAGGGGTCACTGATTCCCCTGGACGTGCATCCCCAGCAGTGGTAGCCTGCACACGGGGTCTCTAGGATCATCTGAGGCAAGGCGTGTCCCCCTGGGGTGCCGACGGTGCAGAGCCCAGCCCAGGAGCAGCAGGGGCCCACCAGGGGCAGCGGGTAGGGAATAAGAGGCCGGACCCCCCTTCTCACACGCAGAGGTGTGTCCACCCAGTGGTGACATTACCCTGTCCCCTCTGGCCACTATCACATCCCTGCAGGGTGAGCGGGCTGGGGGTTGGAGACCCAGAGATCTCATGAATGGGGGGACCCAGAGCCCTGCAGTGCTGCCAGTGCCTGTCCCTGCCCTGTCTTGGGCCCTTGCAGCCCCCCACCCGCTCTGGCCCCTGCAGTTTGAGGAGCTCGTGTACCTGTGGATGGAGCGGCAGAAGTCGGGGGGCAACTACAGCCGCCACCGGGCACAGACGGAGAAGCACGTGGTGCTGTGCGTGAGCTCACTTAAGATAGACCTGCTCATGGACTTCCTCAACGAGTTCTACGCGCACCCGAGGCTCCAGGTGTGTGCGGGGGAAGGGGGCTGCTGGGGGCGGGCACCGCGCCTGCATGGGAGGGGGGATGCTGGGGGCGGGAGCGCTGACCGCGGGTCCAGGTGTCGTGAGCAAGAGGCAGCATCCATGCGATCATACCCGCGCCCCCAGGACTACTACGTGGTCATCCTGTGCCCCACGGAGATGGACGTGCAGGTCCGCAGGGTGCTGCAGATCCCGCTGTGGTCCCAGCGAGTCATCTACCTCCAGGGATCGGCGCTCAAAGACCAGGACCTCATGCGCGCCAAGTGAGCGGGTGCTGGCCAGAGCTGGGCCCTGGGCGACCGCTCCAGGTCCCAGGTCCGCACTGGCCAAAGAGGCTCTGAGAAGCCAGTTGGGGACGCTAGGCAAGGCCAGCTGGTGGGGGGGCTGGGGTTAAGATGCTGCAAGGAACTTTCTAGTTTCTAGCTTGTGCCTGAGCGTGGCCGAGAGTGCCTTCTGCGCACACTTGGAGGTGAAGTGGGTCTGAGGCCCCCACCTGTCGCCTCTGGGCTCTAGGTCACAGGGAGGGAGTCCAGCCCCGCCCCCCCAGGTCTGCCTGGGTGGGGCCTCTGTGACCCTGCGGGGGCTTTGGGGGAGTAGAAGAGGGGCTGAAGCCGTCATCAGGCCTGGGGACCCGTCATCAGGCCTGGGGACCCCCACCCCTTGCTGCACCCCAGCCCTGTCCGAGGTCCAGGGTGTGCAGGATCTCGCAATCCAGACCGGGTCCCTCTACAGGATGGACAACGGGGAGGCCTGCTTCATCCTCAGCAGCCGCAACGAGGTGGACCGCACAGCCGCGGTGAGCAAGGCCACAGCGAGCACTGCTCCCCCTCCTGCGAGTCCCCCGCCTCCCCCCCCCCCGCCCCCCCACCTGACCCTGACCTCCCTCCCCCAGGACCACCAGACCATCCTGCGTGCCTGGGCCGTGAAGGACTTTGCCCCCAACTGCCCCCTGTACGTCCAGATCCTCAAGCCTGAGAACAAGTTTCACGTCAAGTTCGCAGGTAGGTGGGGGTGGGGGTCTGCGTGCGGGGGCAGGGACCCCCATCAGGCCTGCTGGGGCTGCCAGTCCTGGCCTGAGCGTCCAGCCGCCAGGCACTGTCTGGCAGGACCCGGCCGCAGCGGACGGACAAATCCCCGGCGCTGCGGGCACATCCGCCGCGGGGCCTTGGGACAGGCGGCCTGGCCTCCCCCTGGGGCTGCACCAGAGCCCGGTGGGCAGCGGGGGCGGGCAGGGCACAGGGCAGGAGGCTTCAGCGCCCGGCCCCGCAGACCACGTGGTGTGTGAGGAGGAGTGCAAGTACGCCATGCTGGCCCTCAACTGCATCTGCCCGGCCACGTCCACGCTCATCACGCTGCTCGTGCACACGTCCCGCGGCCAGTGAGTCCTGGGAGGGTGGAGGGGGGCTGCGAGCCGGCCTTGCTCCCCGATCCTCGTGACCAGACGGCCCCACTGACATCTAAACCCGCCGAGTGGCCTCCGGGTCTCCTGGGCTCGGTCCCCACCTGTGACCACCCGCCCGCCTGTCTGCAGGGAAGGGCAGGAGTCCCCGGAGCAGTGGCAGCGCATGTACGGCCGCTGCTCAGGCAACGAGGTCTACCACGTGCGCATGGGCGACAGCAAGTTCTTCCGCGAGTACCAGGGCAAGAGCTTCACCTACGCGGCTTTCCACGCCCACAAGAAGTGCGCAGGCGCGGGTGGGGGGAATTGGGCGGGGCGTGCGTGAGGGCTGGGGCAGGGTGTGAGGGATTGGGATCAGGGCATGAGGGTTAGGAGCTGGGTGTGTGGGATAGAGGCGGGGGTGTGAGGGTTAGGGGCGGGGCGTGAGGGTTAGGGGCGGGGCGTGAGGGGCTGGGGCGGGGCGTGAGGGGCTGGGGCGGGGCGTGAGGGGCTGGGGCAGGGCGTGAAGGGCTGGGGCAAGGGTGTGAGGGATGGGGTCAGGGCATGAATGTTAGGGGCAGAGCGTGAGGGTTAGGGGCGGGGTGTGAGGGACTGGGGTGGGCATGAAGGGTAGGGCGGGGCATCTTGCAGGACAGTCCATGCGGGGCAGGGCATAGAGGTGTGGGGATGTGGGGCACGTTGAGGGGGCAGGCCAGGAAGTTCTGGTGTCTCTGATGTGGGGGCGGGGATGCCCGACTGGTAGTGGGGGTGCTGGGGACATGCTGGGGAAGGACCTTGGGGATACTGAACTAGAGCCTGGGCTGGGAACATAGATGACCGGAGGGTGCTGGGCAACTAGCATGGCTGGGACATGTCCCCTCCGGGTCCTGGGTCTGTGTCCAAGGCCATGAGACCCTCGGTGTGGCCTCTGCTTCCTGAGTCACAGGGGCACTGACCACAAACAGCCCAGGGTCCGAGGGGCCCCACCTGGGGACTGGGAGGGGGAGCCCTGGAGAGTTCGTGTGCCCCGTAGGTACGGTGTGTGCCTCATGGGGCTGAAGCGCGAGGAGAACAAGAGCATCCTGCTGAACCCGGGCCCGCGGCACACGCTGGCTGCCTCGGACACCTGCTTCTACATCAACATCACCAAGGAGGAGAACTCAGCCTTCATCTTCAAGCAGGAGGAGAAGCGGCGCGCGGCGGGGCCCTGGGACGGCTCGGCCCGGCTGCCGGTGCACAGTGTCATCGCGTCCATGGGTGAGTCGCTTCCCGGGCCATCTACCCTGCAGGGGAGGCGCCCACCCAGGGAGGGGCTGCCAGCCTGGGCCTCTGCTCTGCCCCAGGGACCGTGGCCATGGACCTGCAGAGCGCCGAGTGCCAGCCGGCGCCGAGCAGTGGAGGCCCGAAGCTGGCGCTGCCCACGGAGAATGGCGCAGGCAGCCGGAGGCCTAGCATCGCACCCGTCCTGGAGCTAGCGGACAGCTCAGCCCTGCTGCCCTGTGATCTGTTGAGTGACCAGTCAGACGATGAGACGGTGCCATCTGAGGACGAGGCCCTCTCTGTGGTGGAGTGAGTGGGCAGGGCCAGACACAGGGAGGGACCCTTTAAGCCGGGTCCCCCCTGGCCTCCCCCAATCCACACCCTGCTGCACTTGGGCCTGCCTTAAAGCAACCTAGCTGCAGGCCCCGCCCCCAGCAGTGTCCACCTGGAGCCCACTTTGTGGGGCGTCTACACGCACACCCCTTTCTGTCCACCTATGCTCTGCATTGTTGGCTTTGGGGTGTCTGGGCACGTGTACTTGTTTGTGGTGTGGGGTTTCGGCCTGGATGCCAACCCACTACACCGCACTCTGGAGTGTCTGGGGCTGGCCACAGGGGATCCCAAGCTCTGGGGAAGCCATGAGCCCCCACCCCCACCCCACCACCAAGTGGGCAGGGATGGACTGTCTGAGACCTGCTGCCCCCATGCTTGAGATAGGCCAGGGACACCTGCTGAGGGTCTGTGTCCTCCAGGTACGTCAAGGGCTATCCCCCCAACTCACCCTACATCGGCAGCTCCCCCACTCTGTGCCACCTGCTGCCCGTGAGGGCGCCCTTCTGCTGCCTGAGGCTGGACAAGGTGAGTGGACAGGCCACAGGTGCTGGGGTGCCCAGGGCCCTGAGCAGCCGGTGCTGCCCACCCTTGTTTGAAGGCAGGCACCTTCCCTTTTTTCCTTCCTTTCTCTTCTTTTCCTCCTTTCCATTTTTCATTTTTTTAAACCAGAAAAGGTTTTTTTCCTGAGTTTTTAGATATTTCTGTGGAGCTACCTATGCTGGGCAGCTCTGGAGTGGCCAGGCCATACTCCAGGCATTGCACACGCAGGCACACACGCAGCCCCTGGTGCCCGGTGGCGTCCAGCCTCCCTCCTGGCCAGGCTTTCGCATGCAGCTGGCCCTCACCCTCTCTCCTGCCTCTTGCTGTCTCCTAATCTAAAATGTTCCTCAGCACAGCCTGTTCTCCTCTGAGTTTGCTGGAATGCCCTGAGGTGACTGTGTCCCATGTGCATCTGATAGTGGCCACGGGGCGTGGGCTAGGTCTCTCTGCAGTCACCGTTCTTTGCAGTGAGGAGCTGCTCTGTCAGCTGACGAGTGCCATTGTTTTCCCCCCTGCACCGGTGGCTGCCCGACACCCTGCTCAGCTCTGTCCCTCACGGCTCCACCTGGCCTGCTCTGTGCTCCTCAGGCAGCTCCTGGGCCCTGGAGGGCTGCCCCTGCCTGCAGATGCCTTGGAGCCAGCTGCCCCATCCCGCAGCACTTGCCCTGCACCAGCCATGAGTTACACACGACAGACCTGTGTCTGCCTGCAGGAAAGATGGGCCCCTACCTGGAGCACTGCACACACACCTGCACATCACCTGTGTGCACACCCGCGTGTCCACACACCTGCAGTACAATCTTGTGCATGGCTTTGCTGAGCGTACACACACATCACAGTCTGCCCACATGGTGTCCTCATAGCCCCTGATGCATCTTTGCCCATGGAGCAGGTGGGGAAGCAGGGTGGGGTGCAGACGTGGCCCCCAGCCCCCTCATCGCTGCCCGTCTGGCCGGGCGCCTCCCACAGGGCTGCAAACACAACAGCTCCGAGGACGCCAAGGCCTACGGCTTCAAGAACAAACTGATCATCGTGTCTGCTGAGACTGCAGGCAACGGGCTGTACAACTTCATCGTGCCGCTGCGGGCCTACTACCGCTCCCGCCGGGAGCTCAATCCTATCGTGCTGCTGCTGGACAACAAGTGGGTCCCCCCGCCAGCCCGGCCTGTGGAAGGGGCCCCTCAAAGGAAACTTCTGAGGCCACAGGATGCTTGTTCCACACCCGCAGAGCTCACGCCCGAGCCCCTCCTTATCCTGGGCTGGACAGCTCCCTTTTGTCCTTCATGGCTTCTTAGCCCCTCCCGGTTCCTGTAACTGTGAGCCCTTGGAGCTGACCATTTGCCTCCAGAGCCTGGCAGTTGGTCCAGGGTTCAGCCTTGGCCATCTGCCCTGGGGCCTCAGTTTCCCTGGGTGCCATTAAGAACGGGTTGGGGACAGCAAAGGCCGAACAGGCGGCACCCGCAGGACCTGCTCTCCCTAGGCCTGACCACCACTTCCTGGAGGCCATCTGCTGCTTCCCCATGGTCTACTATATGGAGGGCTCTGTGGACAAGTAAGGAGCCCCACCCACAGGGAGGGCGGGTCTAAAGGGAGCTCCTGGCACCCCCAGGGACACTCACCCAGGGACCCCTACCCAGGGCCCTGCCCTGCCCCGCCCCGCCCCCCTCCCCCCGGCACTCCCCCCTCCCCCCGCAGCCCAGACAGCCTCACCCAGCCCAGCCCCGTGCCCGGCAGCCTGGACAGTCTCCTGCAGTGCGGCATTATCTATGCTGACAACCTGGTGGTGGTGGACAAGGAGAGCACCATGAGCGCCGAGGAGGACTACATGGCTGACGCCAAGACCATCGTCAACGTTCAGACCATGTTCCGGTGAGGTCGGGCGGGCTGTGGGTGGCTGTGGCACCAGCCCCAGGTCCGTCCCCGCTGACGCCCCGCTGCCCCGCAGGCTGTTCCCCAGCCTCAGCATCACGACGGAGCTCACGCACCCGTCCAACATGCGCTTCATGCAGTTCCGCGCCAAGGACAGCTACTCCCTGGCGCTCTCCAAACTGGAAAAGGTGAGACCCCCTGTGCCGATGGCCTGGGGGCCGGGGGCATCTCCAGGGGCAGACACGTCCTCCTGGGCCCGGGGTGGGGACTGGACAGCCCCCAGAGCCTCAGCCCTGCCACGAGCCCCTCTCCCCTCCCCAGACATGGTCTGACAGGCCACGAGGCACAGGACCTGTCTGAGATCACAGGGCAGGGAGTGACCGTGCAGCCACTGGGGGCAGACCCTCCTACTGGGCTCAGACACCTGGGGGCTTCCAGGAACAGACCTCCAGGCCTCCAGGAAGCAGTGGCGGTGACCCCTAACCTGCTTGCCCAGCCCACAGTGGCCAGCTGGCAGGTCATGGGGTCAGCTTGATCCTGGAAGGGACTGGACACAGGGCAGGACCTGGGGACACAGGAGCCCCAGCCCTGGCCAGCCAGGCCCACCCTGAGCGCTGGAACCCCTCAGTGAGCAGCCAGCCCCTGGGTGTCCACTAGACAGCACTGAGCTGTGGGGCCAGGCTGTGGGCTGCATGTCTGAAGCATCACCCGCAGCCTGAGCTCGGCCCAGGGGTCCGGCACCAAGTGTGGGGTGCAGCCGGGTGCCCGGCGGGGAGCGCGGCCTGAGCTCGTGTTCTGCAGCGGGAGCGCGAGAACGGCTCCAACCTGGCCTTCATGTTCCGCCTGCCCTTCGCGGCCGGACGCGTCTTCAGCATCAGCATGTTGGACACGCTGCTGTACCAGGTCAGCCCACGGCTCTGCTGGCTGCTCCCACACGTGCACCCTGCACCCGCGCGCACCCTACAGACACGCACCTCAAGCCCGCGCGCACCCCACGCACACGCGACACGGGCATGCACACACGGCACGCACACGCACCCTGCACCCGCGCGCACCCCGCGCATGCACGGCACGCACACGCACCCTGCGCCTGGAGTCGTGGGCCGCCCCGCGGCGCAGCTGACGCTAGCCTTCGTCCGCAGTCCTTCGTGAAGGACTACATGATTCCCATCACCAGGCTGCTCCTGGGCCTGGACACCACACCCGGCTCTGGCTACCTCTGCGCTGTGAGTCAGGACGAGGCGGGGCGCGGGGCGGGCGCTGGACTGTCCCGGGGGTTGCGGGGACGCGGGGCAGGCCCGGGGTTCCCGCCGGCCCCGCTCAGGCCCCCGCCCCGCCACAGATGAAGATCACCGAGGCCGACCTGTGGATCCGCACCTACGGGCGCCTGTTCCAGAAGCTGTGCTCGTCCAGCGCCGAGGTCCCCATCGGCATCTACCGCACCGAGTGCCACGTCTTCGAGGTGCCTCCCTGGCGGGCACGGGCGGCAACAGGCGGGGCGGGGCGGGCCGGCGGGGGCGCACACACCCACCGGTGGCTTCCTGCTCTTTTTGCAGCCCCCAGACCTCAGAGCGCAGGTGAGTGCCCCAGGTCGCCTCTGTGGGGAGCCAGCCTCGCCCCAGCGCTCCGGGGGACCGTGCTGACCTGGCGGGGGAGGGGTGGGTGCCCAGCCAGGCGCAGACCGCCCGCGCCCCCAGGTCTCCGTGAACATGGAGGAGTGCGAGGACACGCGCGAGGAGAAGGGGCCCGCGGAGCCCGAGCCCCCGCGCCGCAGGAGCCTGCAGTGGGCGCGGCGGCTGAGCCGCAGGAGCGCCAAGCCCGCCGCCCAGGCATCGGCGGCCGTGTGGAGCCAGCAACGGCTCAGCCTGTGCCGGCGGTCGGAGCGGCAGGAGCTGTCCGAGCTGGTCAGGAACCGCATGAAGCACCTGGGGCTGCCCACCACGGGCTACGGTGAGGCGCGGGTGGGCGCTCAGCTCGGCGAGGTGGGGGGCGGGCAGGTGGGCCGTGGGGGGTCAGCGCCAGCAGGGGCCCTGACGTAGGCCCCCAACCCTTGCCTGTGGCCAGTGTGCAGGAGTCTAGGAGGTGTCCAGGGCCGTCTTGCATGTGGGAGGCCACACCGTCCCTGTCTGCAGCACCCCTGAATTGTTGCGGGGAAGTACCTGTCAGCCCCCTCCCTCCTGTCTCTGGGGACAGGGCTCAGCACCCAAGCTGTCTCTGCGCCTGCCTCCTGCGGCTCACCTGGGCAGTGCTGAGTGTGATGCTGCCAGGGCACCGCCCAGGAGGAGCTGCTGCCCCTGGAGGGTGCAGGCAGCAGGGTGACACCCCCGGCCAGCATGGCGGACCGTCCCTGCGCCCCTTGCCACCCTTGGCTGCTGCCCACCCGCCTGCCTCGCTGATCTCTCTCTCTCTCTGTCTGTCTGTCCCTTTTCCTGTATGTTCTGTAGAGGATGTAGCAAATTTAACAGCCAGTGATGTCATGAATCGGGTAAACCTGGGATATTTGCAAGGTAATTTGGCTGCCGCACACACGGGGCATGCCCCCTCGCTGGTGGGCAGGTGTCCAGGCAGGAGCAGATCAGGGGGCCTTTTGCAAGACTGAGCCCCTGTCTGTGGCGGCCACCCCCGCTGGGCACTCACGCCTGTTTGCCATGGAGTCGCTCCACTGTTACTCTGGGCACGGGCGGGCTGCCTGGCGCCACTCCGCGTGGGAAACATCCAGTGGATGTCCCCAGGAGGCTCCTGAGATTGGAGGCTTCCCGCCCCGACTCGGTGACCCCCAGGCCAGGGGCACATCCACCACTCTCATTTGTGTTAGAGCTTGCGTGACCCCATTTCTGCCAAGACAATGCCCACTAGCCCCCGCCCAGCAGCCTGGCGGGTCAGAGCAGACCAGGGTTCGGCCAGGCGTGTGCTGTCAGGGCTGGAGCCATAGGGCAGTGAGGTGGGGATGGGACCCCATTCCCAATCCCTCAGAGGAGGGCAGGGCTCACACAGGGGACACTGTGGCACCTCCAGCTGGGTGTGCCCGTGTGTCAGTCTGGGCTGAGCTGCTCGACCTCCCTGCACCCCCACAGGGCAGTCCTGACGTCCTGGACATAGAGCCAGTGGATGGGCAGGGTCTTGCGGGAGGCACCCCCTTAGCCAGACTGCGGCGGGTCTCCTGGGTGCCCTTCAGTTGCACCAAAACAGAGACAAAGCCCCTGGTATACGATTCCCGGGAGCAGCCTGGGGCTTCTGCGTGGCCCCAGGTGGGATGCAGGGTGGGGTGTGGCCAGGCAGGAGGCGGGATGACCACAGGGCAGAGGGACACTATCATTTCCTTGCTGGCTGCCTATCCATCCTGGGGATATGAGGCTAGCCTCATAGCTGACCCTGCCTAGGGCCCACTGCCCAGCATGTTGGGTGACCCGACCCCATCCCTGTCGCCAGCGCCCCAAAAATGCCCAGCTGGGCTCCCCCCTCTGGGCGTGGTGGCAGATGGCCCAGGTCTGAACCGCTCCCCAGCCCCTGCACCCCAGCCCCCCACACACTCCAGTGCCCCCCAGCTCTTGCGCACCCAGGCCCGCTGTGCACCCCACTGTAGTCACACACTGCAGCCTGCACCCCCGCCCCTGAAAGCACAACAGGACCCACCCAGGGGTCAGAGTCCCTCCTGGCCCCTGAGGCCTTTCCTTTCTCTGGACCTCACTGGGCAGAAGATGCTCGGGCTTCTGGTGTACTGTCTCAGTCAGGAGATGCCGAGCTCACAGCAGGTGGTAAACTGAGGCAGGCCATCCATCTCCCTGTGGGGAACTCAGGTCCTTGTGCTGGGCCCGCACAGCCATGGGCACTGCAGTTTCTCCAGAAGGCTCTGGCCACGGGGGAGCCACAGGCCCCTCACAAGGGGCACGCTGGGCCCCCCCGAGTGCCGGCAGGTTTGGAGAGCCAAGGAGAGAGCAGAGGCCAGGGCCACGGGGCACGTGGCAGGTGGGCTCCGTGCCCCTGTCCGTGGCTGCTGCTGGCTCGGGTGTCCCTGCCGTGGGGCCGACTGAGCGGTGCCCCCCGGGCGTCTCCCCTGCAGATGAGATGAACGACCAGCAGAACACACTCTCCTACGTCCTCATCAATCCCCCGCCCGACACCAGGCTGGAGCCCAATGACATCGTGTAAGACCCTCGTCCCAGTGCCTGCTCAGGATTTCCAGGGGGAGGTGGCACTCAGGGTCCTGGTGCTTCCGCAGGTACCTCATCCGCTGCGACCCCCTGGCCCACGTGGCCAGCAGCTCTCAGAGCCCGAAGAGCAGCTGTCACCACAAGCTGGAGTCCTCTCACCCCGAGACGCATGACGAGACTCAGCTCTGAGCCGGCTGAGCACGCAGCCCCGACGGATTCTGCAGACCGTGGCGCAATCTGTAACCCGTTTTTACCAATCTCAACCACCCTCGTCTGCACAATGTACCGCAACTCGTGACCAGGCCTGTGGTGGCGGCTGCAGCCCCTGCTGCCTGGCCCCTGGCAGCGTCAGACTGAGGGCTCTGCAGGCCTCTGGGATGGCACGTCCCTGAGGTTCTGGCCAAGCCCAAGAGCTTCAGGTCAGCCTTCCTTGTCCGAGGGCCTGTTGGTCCTGGGGACTCGGGAGGGCTCACCAGAGCTGGCGGAGAACCAGCAAAGGGAGGCCTGGAGGCCCTGGCACAGGGACCCACAGACTGACTGTGGGCAGGGGCGCTGGCTCTCACATGAGGGCCCCAGGAGTCCCACCCCAAAGCACAAGGTCGTGTCTGGAGCCAGCGGGGATCTGGACAGCTCCCTGGCTCCTGGGGACGATTCTGCACAGCAGGTGCTGGAACCTTCTATTAAACAGATACACTCTGCAGCAGGCTGGCTATGGGGGTCCCGGGTGGGCTACCCTCCACCTCTGTGCACACGTGCTCAGCCCCAAGACCAGCAGCAGGGGGATGCGGGCTGCAGGGACTGTGGGAGATGCCTCTGAGGGGGGGGGGTGAAGGAGCAGTGACTCACCCCCTCTGGGACCCAAGAGTGGGCTGCCGAAGTAGCAGTGGGCAGCCAGGGAGGGCTGCTGGGGTGGGGAACACAGGGGTCCTGGGATTTGGCAGGGAGGGGTGCAGGAGGACCCTACTATCCAGGGCAGGGCTCTAATCGGGGGTCTGCACCCCTTGAGAGTCCCACGAAAGTCTTCAGTGGCATCCTGGACACCCACCTGCTAGTCTGGGTTGACGCCTCATTGGGGGGGCCAGAGGACAAGGTGGAAGCCAGTAACCCGTTTTTACCAATCTCAACCACCCTCGTCTGCACAACGTACCGCAACTCGTGACCAGGCCTATGGTGGCGGCTGCAGCCCCTGCTGCCTGGCGCCTGGCAACTGCAGCACCCTAAATCTCCTGGCTGCTCCCGCCTCTCCAGCCAGGCATCGGCATGGATTCCTGGGCACATTTCCCATGGCCTGCCAGTGCCCGCTTGCTGCCAGAGCCGTCTAGCAGGCCCCTGCCTTGTGTGCCCAGTAAGGTGAGGGCTCTTCCTGCAAGGCCTCCAGGGGGTGCCTCTGGCAAGAGCTGCTCTCCTGGCCTCTGTAACCCCATTGCCATCTCAGTGGTGCCCTTCCTGACGACAGTTCTCTCAGGGCCCTTTGGAAACCCAGAAGAGAGGCCTCTGTTCCTGTCCATTCCTCTGCTCCTCAGCACCGCACACCTGGGTTCATGCTGGACCCTCTGGCTGGCGGGAAAAGACAAGCCAGAGGCCATGCTCCACTGACACCCGACAGGCCGGGGGGATCGGGCAACTGCCTATCAGGTCAATCGGGGGGTGTCTGGCCACCTATCAGATCAGGGGATGTCCAGCCGCCTATCAGGTCAGTCTGGGGACCCACTCTACCAGAGTCGCCGCTGACTTAGCCTGCTTACCCCCTAACCCCCTCTCCTGTGGGAAGCGGGGAACCTCTCTCCCCAACACTCACCTCCACGGATGGGGGTGGGAAACCCGTCACTGTCCTGGGAGATTCAGGCCTAAGCTGAAGGGGTCTCGGGCTTTCTCTGCAGGACAAGGACAACTGTCCCAACCTCTAGCCACAGAAGTTCCACCCCCAACCATTTCTAGAGCCTGACATCTGCGTGCATGCATGTTTGGGGGGGGGGGATGTTTGGGGGACTAAGCCTGCAGGGCCAGGCTTAGTCCCCCACCCCTACAGGTTAGCTTCCAGCCATGCACTGTCCCGAGCAGCCAGGTCCCCACAGCTGCTCCCCAGTGCTGACAGCCCCAGTGCCTGTCACAACCAGATCCTCCCTGGTGCTTCTAGGCAACCCCGATACCACCGCTGACCCCAGGACCCAGGAACCGGGACACACAGCGTGGAGCGCTCAGAGAACTCGGTTCTTACAGAGCTGAGACTTGAGTCGGGGTGGATGGGACACAGAGAGGGATGGAGAAGGGGTGTCGCTCCCCCAAGTCCTCACATTCACCAGCACTTTATGGGGCTTCTCTTCCCTGACTCGGCCGCTGGGGCCTGAGTGCCACTGCAGCCTCTTGTCCCTCCTGGAATATGTAGACCCCTTGGACACAAGGTGGGTGCTCAGCACCAGCACCCCCAAATCACCACAGGATGAGACAGCTGGAGGGCGGTGGACCACAGCAGCACCATTTCCCACACCCCTTTGGGGGACACAGGAAAGGAAATGCCTACAGTCTGCTGGTCATACTTGGCCCTGCTACTCCCTGGGCACTCTGGAGCCACCAAGGACGGGCCCTGTATGCCCAGCGGCCTCCAGCAGCTCCACTTTCCCAAGAGAGCGAGGCCGGAGTGTGGCTGGAGGTACCAGCATGGGAGTGCGCCAGTGGGGAGGGGCTCCTGTGAGCTGGGGGACAGCACCTGGTAAGAGGTCTCGGCGCCTGGGCAATCCTCGGCGAGAGCTAGGAGGGCTCCCAACAACCGGGACCCAAAGTGATGCAAGGTGCCCAGGCCTCCACCCAGAGGCTGTTGCTGGCCTGTAGGTCATGATCCGCCTCCCCTAACGCATCCTCACCCCTGGGCTCCCTGCCCGGGAGGCAGCCACAAGCTCCTCAGCCTGAAACAGCAAGTTCCGAGGGGTAACAAGGCGAAGTCTGTTCCGAGACATGTCCCCCGGGGATAGTGTTGAGACTGGGACACTCAGGGCTGAGAGATGCACAGCAGGCAGGGCACTGACTGTACACTCAGCCACCATCCCTGAGCACTATCGGGTGTGTCTGTGTCCACAGCACTGCTCTCTCAGCAACCAGAATCCCATGCTGTTCCCAAGGCCTCCCACAGCCTAGCCCCCAGGGGGCTGTGGCCAGTCCCTGTGGAACCTGCAGCCTGAGGCACTGCTGCCTTCAAGTGGGGTGGGGAAGGGCCGTCCCCAGGAGTGATGCCTCCACCGCAGACAAACACCACCTTCACCAGCATCCCGGACAGAAGGGGCCAAGATGAGTCCTGAGAAATGGAAAGGGCTGTGAGGGCCGGCATGGCCAAGCTAAACTATAGTGTCCAGTGGGTGCCAAACACAGTCACCGGGCAGGATTCTGCTTTCTCGACACTCACAAAGACCAGCTGACCCAGCAGCTAACCCCTCGCAGTAGCGGGCCAAGTTGGAACACCAGCTCAGAGCCTGCTCCGGGCACTGGTGCAGGGCCAGCAAGTGCCAAGTACTGCCGGAGTCCCCCAGACAGACACTCCCCCACAGCCAGAAGCACTAGATGACACAAACGCCACGACCCCAAACACGTGCCCCTCGGAAGCAGGCCTGCTCTCACTTTATTACACTGAAGGCTTCCTCAGAATAGATAAGACAGTGAGAGCTGCAGCCCGGGGCACCCCTCTCCCCGGCCCACCGGTCTCCTTCCCTCCTTCCGTGTGAGCCGCCACTTACCTTTCGACCTAAACTACACACCCGAGCACCCACCCCTGCCCGTTCCTCACATCTTCGGTCTGCCTGCAGTGTGAGAGAAGACTGGAGGTGCACTCCCAGGAGACGTGTGCAAAGCTAAGAGGAGTGATTCAGAATCTCCTGGCCACAGGGGCAGTGGCCAGGCCCAGGGCACAGCTGCCATCAGGGAACCACTGTCAGGGCCAACACAGAGAGTTTGAAGTCATTCCAATAACTTGAAATTTCAGAAATAACTGTGAAGAACCAGTTTCTTTTAAATAAGCAACCACAGTTACGACTTGACACAGAGAACCACCCCCCCTTCCACAGGCTGCCACGTCAGGTGATGTGCAGTGACAGCCGGGCCAGCCCAGGAGCACCACCTCTGCAGAGAAGCATGCTCAGAGTGAAAAATGTTCAACGTTACCAAAATCTGTCTTTATTAAAGTGAACAAACCAAAACCTCGAGCCCGCTGGTTGTGATCTGTGACGCTCGCCTGGCTCCCACCAGGCAAAGTGCTGCCCGGCCGTTCGCCATCCTCCCGGGGATGGAGAGTCTGCTCTTATCCACAGATTCCAGGCTTTTCCTAAACTTCAGTAAACTTTGCTGAGCAGCAAGGATAAAGACTTTTTCTCAGAAATCTTAGAACTGAATAGCAACGTTGGCAGTAGACACAATCAATAAATATATGACCACGATACCGACTCCTTTCCTACAGACATTCACAAACCCTGACCAAGATGGAGGAAGGTCAGTTCCACATTCTCCAACATCACAGCGGCCAACGGGAAGGGCCTCAGGTCATGTGCAAAAAGGGTGAGGTGAGAGGCAGCAATCCCATCAAGCGTCTGCTTTCCACTGAGGAGAACTTCAAGTAAAAGGAATCCACAGCCCGGAGACCCGGCTCTCGCCTGTCCTCTTGTCCCGACCCCGCCTGCCTTGGGATCAGCAGAGACGGCGGCAGCACGGGTCCCCGACACCCGTCGTGGGCGCCAGGGGAGGGGTTCTCTCAGGTCTGCGTTTCACACTTCGTACCCGAACGGAAGGACAATAAATAGGGCGTGTCAGTGGCTGCCGTCATTTGCGAGTCTGTGTCTTCTTTGGCACTGAGGGCCGCTTGGGCTGCCACAAGTGGTTATGAATGGTGAGTGCATCCACGCTGACAGACATGGTCTTGGCTGGGATCAGATTGAACTGTTTCCGGTCCGAGCTGTACTTGTACAGTTTGTCCATCATTTTCTTGGTGATGCTCTTCGGCCCCGTGCCTGTCAGCTTGTAGATCTCTTCAGTGTCAGGGTAGTAGCAGTACAGCGCCCTGAACTGACAGCCAGCGTCACGGAAGAGAATGATGTAATGGTTGGCGTCACACTTCTCCAGCTCCTGTGAGGAGGGGAGGGGACAGAGATGAGGAAAACAGGGGGTCGCTCCCCATCACATCATCCATGTAGTTCAACATGGTGCCTGGGAGTCTGGCGGTGAGCTCCGCACCTCCACCTTGGACAGCGGCTCAGTTTCTGCTCTATCCAACGCACGCACCGCCAAGCGCCCCACAGGGCAATGTGGAAAAGCACAAGCACGCAGGGGTGAGCCCCGAGGACGGCACGGCCCTGGGGTGGGCGTGAGGACAAGAGCCCGAGAGAACCATGCCGACACCCATCCTAGGCAGACGCGAGTGAGAAGGCTCCAGGTTGGGCCTGCCGGGGCCACAGGAAGGAGCAATCACAAACCCCGAAAACATCAAGCACAGGCACAGCACATGGGCTCCAAGGCTCAGCCAGCGCCTGCTTACCTCAGCCTGCCCAATACGGAGCAACACCAGGCTGAGGGGACCCACGGACATGCCCGGAGTGCAGCGAGAGAACCAGCACTGCTGAGGGGACCCACGGACACGCCCGGGGTGAAGCGAGGGGACCGGTACTCGCCTCCAGGATGGAGTTCTTGTGCGGCTCGTTCACTTTCCCGGCCAGGCAGCAGTGCGATATGGCGTTGTGGATGATGGGCTTATTGGACTTGCTGCTCGGCTCCTTGAAGAGCTTGGGCCCTGTGGACACCAGGGGAGGACAATCAGCAGCTCCAGGGGAGCACTGCCAGCAAACACCTTCCTGAACCGAGGCACAGGCTGCGCCATCAGTTCAGAATGTTGGTGACTGTTGAAAACAGGAACTTAGGAGCTTCACACATTTTCAAAGTAATTCAGAGATGTGAATAAACTAAGGAGAAAAGGCACTAGAAATGGAGCAGGAAGTGCCCTGTCCCCTGGGCCTTGTGCAAAGGACTCAGTGCTCTGGAGGCCGAGGAGCTGCGGCCTCATGCAGCTCCACATGCAGAGCACATTCTCTGACCTACTGAGAGAGTGAGCTACTTCCCGGCAACTACTTAGACTCTTTGGTTTTATTTTGGGGGGTACTGGTTGTAGTTGGGGGGCCACTCCCAGCAGTGCTGAGGGCACCATGAAGTACCAGGGATGGAACCCAGGGCCCCTCACGCACTGCAGGTGCCCACTTGGCCCTTGGAGTCACCTGGGGCCGGGGAGCTCCAAGGGAAAGAGCCATGCTGAGCACACGGGCCCAGGCTCAAGACCCTGCACTGCCAGGAACAGCCCCGAACTCCCCCAGGAAAATCTAAGTCCTGGGCTGGGAGACAGTGTGCAGGGCCGCAAACACCATGGGGATCCTAGCAAAGGGGGCCCGCGGGACCCGCCTCAGCCATGGGGCTGCACAGGCCAAGGGGCACAGCCTGAGGACCTCCAGGCCAGATGTACCCTGGACTCTCCCTCTCGCACACACCCACACACACCTCATGACCTCTCCCTCTCTCACACGCACCATGACCTCTCCCCCATCCTCTATCTCACATGCACGTGCACCCTGCAGCCTGTCAGGGAGTGGGCTGTCACCTGTGTACTCGGCCACTGAGGCGAGGGAAGAGGCGGCCGATGCGGTCTCCCAGTCGCGGTCGGTGCTCCTGCTGGGGTTGCGGCTCAGCACAGGCAAGGCCTCCAGGGACTCGACGCTGCAGAGAAGATGAGGGGCAGAGCTGGTGAGTGCTCCAGGGACGGGCAGCCGTCCTCGCGGGCAGCACAACCAACACTCTGGGCACAACTGCACCGCTTAACACGGGCAGCATGTGCCCCAGGCCTGCACCCCCAGAACTGGCACAGGGCTGGCCAGGCCCCTGCCAGTGCCCAGGCAGAGAAATTCACACACACTCACCATGACCTCCCCCTCTCTCAACACTCACCATGACCTCTCCATCACAAACTCACCATTCTTTCTCACACACGCTCACCATGACCTCTCTCACATACACACGCTCACCATTTCTCTTTCTTTTTGGGGCTTTTTGGATCACACCTGGCTCTGCACAGGGGTTCCTCCTGGCTCTGCACTCAGGAATCACTCCTGGCGGTGCTCAGGGGACCATATGGGATACTAGGAATCAAAGCCGGGTCGGCCACGTGCAAGGCAAACGCCCTCCCTGCTGTGCTATTGCTCCAGCCCCTCCATCTCTCCCTCTCACCATGATCTCTCTCTCTCTCTCTCTCTCTCTCTCTCTCTCTCTCTCTCTCACACACACACACACATGTTCACTGTGCTCTCTCCCTCTCTCTCACGAACACACTCACCATGACACCTCCCTCTCTCTCTCACACACACACACATTCCTCATGATCTCTCTCTCACACAAACTGAGTCTGAGCCATCCAAGCCATTGCGCATCAGGGATAGCCCCAGCGGGCAGGCTGGGCACCACTCCTGGCACAGGGAGGCAGTGAGCACCTGAGCCCCCCTGTTGAATCCACCGCCAGAATTAAAACCCAACAGAGGGGCTGGAGCATAGTACAGTGGGAGGGCTCTTGCTTTGCACACGGCCCACCTGGGTTTGATCCAAGGCATCCCATATGATCCCCGGCATCCCATATGGTCCCCAAGCACCGCCAGGAATAATTCCTGAGTGCAGAGCCAGGAGTAACTCCTGAGTACCACCAGGTATGATCCCAAAACAAACAAGGAACACCAACAGAATTGAATTCCAGAGATGGTCATCCACAAATCCCAGGACATCCAGGATGAAAAGCCACTGGCCATACGGGGACAGGAGAATATGGCCACTGCAGAAAGAGTGGTGGGCCACACACCCTGAAGGACAGGCGGAAAGAAAGGTGGCAGCAACAACACCCAAAAGGAGAGAGAGAACAAAAGGGAATGCCCTGCCACAGAGGCAGGGTAGGATTGGGGGGATGGGGGTGGGAGGGATATTATCCATGGTGGTGGAAAATGGGCACTGGTGGAGGGATAGGTATTTGATCATTGCATAATCAAAACCCAAGCACAAAAAAGTGTAAATCTATGAACTGTACCTCATGGTGTTTCACTAATAAAAATTAAAAAAAAAAAAAAAAAAAAAAAGGTGGCAGAAGCCCAGCCTGCGCCCAGACCCTCTCCAATCACGGAGGGCATGTTTCAGGGAGCTCCTCTGGGATGCTCCGCTGGGCCTCACTCAGCCTTTTGGCCCGATCACTCCGGGATGACAGAGAAAAGAGGTCACTGCAAAGAGCCAGTCTAGTGGCGGATAAAAGGTCCAGGACGGAGGCTCACTCCCTCCCTTCCTCCCTCCTGAGAGCAGAACCGGTCCGTCCCCATGCACACACTCAACTGTCCTGACCTGAAACCCCAGCAAACCTGAGTTATGAAACCTCCCCCATGCTTCTTTCCTTTCCTGACATTTTCACTTTCATTGACTCCAACTATGGCTAAGCTGGAAACCGCCTGCAGCCTGGCCCTTCCCCTCACTGCCCCTCACCGCTGGGATGGGGCGCCTCCAGAGTGCACGCTCTCGGGTTCCGTCGTGGCGGCAGAAGCCAAGGACAGGCTGGAGCCCGACTGGGCCCGGCTCAAGTTGTCAGCTGTGGAGAGACAAGAGCCGCTTTCCTGAGCGCCTGCACGGCCCAGACCCTGGTGGGGGCACAGGCCTCGGGCACGGCTGGCACTCACGGGTGGAGGTGCACTTGGTTCCCGGGTCGCTGCTCGACTCTTCCCGGTGCACTGACTTGGGCCGCGGCTTCTTGGGCTTGGATTTGGGTTTGCCCAGTCCTTGTTCTTCCAGAATCTGCTGCTGCTTCCGGCGCAGGTACTCCTGCTTAATGAGCTCCCGCCGGGCCTTCTCCTCTTCCTTCCGTATCCGATCTTCTTCAGCTTTACGCCTAAGGGAAAAGGCGTCCCAGGTGTCCCCGGTCAGGGCACTGGGAAGGCTCCTGGCAGTACTGGTGGCACAGGCCCTGGTGCCCATCTGCCCCGCCGGGGACGGGAGCATGGGCAGCGCAGCCCAGCTTACCGGGCCTCGTCTCTCTTGAGTTCCACCTCCGCCTCCAGCTGCTGCTTCCGCAAACGCGCCTCCTCGGCCTTGCGCTGCTGCTTCAGGAGGAAGGCCGCACGCTTCTTGGCAAGCTCGTCTTCCGCCTTCTGTTCATCCTGCAAGCACATACTCTATGTGGAACCCCCCGGACATGCCCACCGACAGCTACACCAGGCCTGCCCCAGCAGCCGAGTGTGCGCAGAGCCACAGGCCGCAAGATCTGCTGAGCACTGCTGGGTGGAGCCTCCCGCAGAAGTCCACACGCCAAAGCTCCTACTCTGACGAGCAACATGGCGAGTCCTCAGGGAAGCAGACGCTAAGGACAGATGCGCCCACGTCTCCTGTCTTCCCCGTGCCAAAGAGACACGGCAAGAAAGGCACAGAGGCAGGAACGGGCCTCCAGTCCCCACAGCACTGCCTAAACCACGGGGCATGAGCCACCGTGACGTGACTCAAAAGTGGAAAGTTCTTTGAAAATAAAGGATTTCTGAACGTACAGTCACCGTCAGCTCAACACCCAGCCTGCCATGACGCTGGCGGGGTGTACTGCTTTCTGGGCTAAAAGGGGTATGAGAGGGGCCTGTGTGGATCCGAGGCTGAGGCTCAGGTGAGGGAGTCCCAGGCAGGCGCTCTTCTAGCTGGAGAGGGAGCTGCCTGCCACCACCTGCCCCGTGCTCTGGCGTTACCTTGAAGAAGAAGCCAACTCCCGGCTTCTGATCACCGGCACCCAGGAGGCACGTGGAGCTGTCAGGGCCTTCGGGCTCGCCGTCCTCGTCAGGGGCTCTGAGGTGGGACAGGTCCACCTCGATGAGGCTGGCCTTGCTGCGCAGGGGCTCCTCTGCACGGGCGCTCTCCTTCCCCGGGGGCGCTGGGGAGCCCGGCACCCCCTCCCCGACGCTACCATCCAGAACGTCTTTGAAGCCCATTTGCTCCAAGACGATGTTCGTGTCTTTGCAGAAGGCGAAGGTCCTCTGGTTGTTCTCGTCATGCAGCCGGTGGCTCTCCAAGAAGCCCTTCTCGGGAGGGTCGCCGGGCCCGGGGGATTTCTGGGGGTGGCCACCTGGGAGGAAGGCCCGGCCCTGCGAGAGGGTGTTGTCCAGGCCGGGCGTTGGGGTCTTGCTGCGGGAGGAGCCTGGCTGCCGGTCTTTGAGGCCCTTCAGTTCTGCTGGCCGTCCCGAGCGGCCATTCCGGCCCTGTCCCCCCCGAGCGGCTTTGCGGGGAGCCGTCGTCCCTGTGGGGGAGAGCGGCTCCACGAAGTGGATGGCCGCCTTGCCCTTCTGGTCCTGGGCGCCCGGCGCGGGCAGGGCAGGCGGCTTCATGAGGAGCTGCTCCTGCTGCTGCGAGATCTTCAGGATGGCCTGCTGCAGCGTGCTGATGGTCTCGTTCAGCTTCTCGATGGACAGGTCGCACTCGCCCACGTCCAGGCCCTCGCCCGCCTCCAGGAGCACCTTGCTCTTCTCCAGCTGCCGCTGCGGCCCCACGGGCAGGCCGTCTCTGTCCACGTCCCCGGGCTCCAGAAGCGCGGCTTCCACCTTGCAGACACCCCCATGCAGGTCCTGTGCATCGTGCTGCGAGTACCCCGGAGACAGGGGCTCGGGTTTGAGGGGCTGCGGGGCGCCGTCGGCCTTCCCTTTCTTGACCACGTGCAGGAAGGCGGCCTTGCCCAGCTGGAGGCGCTGCCGGGCGGACAGAGCCTCCATCTTCTTCTTCTGCGCCTCGATGGCCCTGCGCTTGTCCTCCAGCTGCATGTGCAGCTGCACCAGCTCTGAGGCCAGCAGGCTGGCGTGGTCCCTGCTCTGCCGGTTCGGGCTCTGCTCCCGACGCTGCTTCCATGTGGTCAGGGGCACCGGGCAGCTCTCTGAGGCATCGGGTGTGGTCTTCTGGGAGCTGCTGGTGCTGGACTTGGTCTCGGAGCTGTTGAGCCTCTGAAGCTTGCGCTCGGCGAAGCTGGTCATCTTCACGCTGCCGCTGGCCACGGAGACACTGCTGAGCTGAGAGACGGTGCTCAGGCAGGGGCTGGAGCGGCCACTGGCGTCGTCCTTGTCCTCATGCTCCTTCACCTTCAGGTCCTCCTGCAGTTTGGCCGACTCCTCCTCGCCGCCATACCTTAAGATCCCCGCAGGGTGGTCCTCTCCCCCCACATTGTGCCCAGCTTCCTCCAGCTCGGCCGCGTCCGAGTCGGAATCCTGCCGCAGGAGGGTCCAGGTCTCTGGGCTGTGCAGGCGGGGACTCCTGGAGCGGCCAGTGGGGGTGCTGGCTTCGGCCACATGAAGAAAGAAGCCGTCCGCAGACTGGCCCAGAGTCGACGGGTCGAGGCCGCCACTGGACACAGGCCCACCGGGGGCCACCTCCGCCTGCAGCCCCGCCTCCACGGGGGCTGAGCCTGCAGGAAGTTCTGCAGACGAGATGGGGGTGAAAGTCCTGTTTGGGTCGCGGCTGAGGGGAGCCCCAGGTGCTCTCTTCCTGCCCAGGGGTTGGCGGTCCTCGCTGGATCTCCTGGGCAGGAAGCCCCTCGGTCTGCCCTCCCCGCACTCGTCCTCTTTGGTGACCGTCTGCTTCTCCTTGGCCGGCCTGAGCACAGCCGGCATCAAGGGCTCCAGGAAGAAACTCTCAGGCTTACTTTCGAGGGTGCCTGCCGGTCTGTGGGGGGAGCCAGCACTGGCTGCCAGGCCCTGGTCCCCACCCTGGGGCCCCGGGTCTGTTCTAATGATGGCCACCAGCTCCTCGTCCTCGTCCTCGATGTCGACATTGTTCAGCAGGCTCTTCCCATTGGGTCTGAGGGCAGGGGGCTGTGGTTGGTTCTGAGGGGTCACATTCGTGACATTGGACGCCAGGCTGTCCTTGCTGATGGAGCGGGCCAAGCTGATGCTGTCCCCAGAGCCAGGGTCGATGTCGCAGCTAGCAGTGTGGTGGAGGGCAAAGGGCGCAGGCTGTGACGTGGGCCTGCGGGGGAGGGAGAAGCTGATGTGGGCTGCGCGTGGACCCGCCACCAAGACAAGGCGCAGGGTCCCTGCTCAGCCGGGTCCCAAGAGCCTGTCACCCACTAGCCCAGCAGTGCGGTGCTCTGGGAGTGAGCTCGAGAGGCGAAGTGGAGAGACACCCAGGAACGAGAATGGTTTCAAACGGCAGCATGGAGAGCGCGGCCCTGTGCTCTGCATCTGCACAGCTGACTCGGACCCAGTGTGCCGTGCTCCCAGGCACAGGACGGAGGGAGGAATGGGGGCGGGGATGGGGCGAGGGGTTAGGGGGTGTGCTATGCGGAGCAGCACTATTCGACCTGACAAACTACACTGGGGAGGGAGGGTCAGCATCAGCGGTCACCTGCTTCTTCTCTCTGCCCACGCCGTCACTGTCACCGCCCCTCGCGGCTGACTGTCCACACGGGTCAGAGAACTGGTCCGATGCCGTGGATCTGTGAAATGGAGGAGGAGCGCGTCAGCCATTGCCTTAGAAGGGAGCAGGCTGCTCCGTAGCACTGTGGACAACACAGTTCCTGAGAGGCCCTGGCCAGTGACCAGATCCCATGGACGCCAACAGCGCCAGGAGCTCCTGCTCCAAGATGACACGGTCGTTCTGTGCCCACACTTGGCAACCCATCCAGTACCGAGACTCAGGAAGCTGCCTCCTTACCAGGGGAGTCCTCTGCTCCTGGGACCGGCTTCTGCTGCTTCTGCCTCAGAGGGAGGAGGGGATGTGAGGGGCCACAGGCAGCTGCTCCCTTCCCGCTGGAGAGAGAACAGAGGTTCACAAGTTCAACAGAAGCAGCCCAGGTCACAGCAACTGCGCAATTCTTGGAGAAAAGGGGAGCACAAGATGAGGCGAGAGCAGCCAGGCAGACGTGGTCTGCACAGGCCAGAGCCCGCACCACAGCCCCACTGGGCTCTTTCTAATTGCCCCTGAAGGCGAGACCGGGAGAGTGGGTGCCGGCTGGGCAGAGACAGACTCAGAGGGACAATTGGAACCCTGCCCTGCAGACACACATGCAGTCCCCCTTCGGCCCCGGGGCAGTGGACTCACAGGTGCTCGGGGTCGTCGGGGTGCAGGCCGTGCCTGTGAGCCCCTTCAGGCGGTGGCTGGGCGGGGGACCGCAGGTCTGCAGGGCTGCCCAGGAAGCTGCGCCTGGTGGCGTTGGAGATGGGGACCGGGGGCCGGCTGCTCTTTGGGTGTGGCGCTGCCTTGGCTGCGGGAAGAGCATTTCAGAGTCACGCTTCGTCTCAGGCCAACCATCTCGGCACTGAAAAGAGCATGTGGACTGGCAGGAGCATCTTGGGCGCTCTGGCCACCGGCTGGACTTCAGCAGCACTGGACAACGCAGGGCTTGTGAACTCTGGGAAGGGCAGAAAGGACCAACAGGCCCCTCCAGAGGAGGAGCTGCTCGCCCACCAGCTCCCTGCCCCCAGTCTGTGGGGGTCACCCCAAAGCCACACCCACCTGGAATCAACCACCCACGGCCATCAGCATCAGAAAGGCCTGGGCCGCATGTACCTGAGGTTGCTCCCTTGAGCTGGACTCAAGGTGGACCCACACTGCCCAGTTGTGTGGGATCAGACGCCCAGAGGCCCTGGCAGGGTGGCAGTTAGGGTGGTGGGGCTCTGAGCATGGGGAGGGGGTCCCCAGCAGGGCTCACTGAGGAGATGGAGGGGAAAGGCAGAGATGACGGCAGGCGGCCCCCAACCCCAGGGCCCGACACTGAGTGGTCTGAGAAGCTGGGATGTGGGGCGGGGTCTGTGGTCAAGTCCCACTCGGGGAGGCACCTCGAGCTTACCACAAGGACTGCCAGCCCTACCAAGTCCCTCGATTTAACTGTTGAGTCCGCAGAAGAGCACCTGACACTTCCCCGAAGGCCCTGTGCCAGCAGCCTCAGAGCAGATGCAGAGGCTAACAGGAGTGCGAGCAGCACTGAGCGGGTAAGATGAAGCTGGTAACAGGCCCCTGGCTTGTGTAGTCATTGCACTGAGAGGGCAGGGGAGGCAGTAGCGTCCCCAGGACACCCACCCTACCCACAGGGACAAACCCCAGTGGACCCTCAGGCAGCCAGGCTCCCGAGCACAGCAGAGGTGGCCACTTTGGGCTGTGGAAACTCCTATGACAAGAGACAGTAGATCAGAACCGACCATCATGCCCTGCAGAGAGAAAACAGCCCTGCACGCCACAGCCCTGCTCCTTCATGAGCCCCGCCCCCCCAAATGACCCGGTTCCCCCAAGACCCAGACACCCCTCGGGCCTGACCATGCCGTCCTGTAGCAAAGTGGCTCTTTCAGCTCACCCCTCCCTGAGTAGGACCCTGATAGGAAGGAGGCCTTGAGGCTGGGGTGACGCTCAGTGTCCCAGAGAAAGCTCCCGCCATGACAAGGCAGCTCTGATGCCTGGGAGCAGTCAGGACCCTGCTACGAAGAAGCCCATGTGCCACAGAGCTGGTGTGCACTGGGGCGGCAGCACCTGAGCACCTGCTCACAGGGCACCAGAGAGCATGTCCCAGCACGTCGGTCACACAGGGCCATCTGGGACTCCAGCTCTGAGGTAGGCTGGCCCCAGCATGTCACTGGACAGAAGTGGCACCTTGGGCCCCAGACTGGGCAGAGCTGTGTCACTGACCACACAGAGAGGCAGGCAGCTACTGCCCTGTCACCCACTGCTACCAGTCTGCCAACAGACCGGGATGGGCCTGACTCCTGGGCAGAACAGGGCAGGGCAGGGCAGGGCAGGGATGGGCCTGCAGGTGGCACACAGCCCTGACTGGGCCCGAGCAGAACCCAGCAGTCTGCACTGGCCCGCATACTGCCAAAACCAGGCAGTGTCACATGTCAGAGTGACTTGGCTGGTCCTTGGGCACTGGATGTACAGGGACAAGCCCTGGGAGAAAGTGCCGTGAGCCACTGACACCTCAGGCCATGGAGTGGAGTTGGAACCTCTGGGCAAACAGCCTCTGCGGGGAGCAGGCACTCACCATCCTTCAGTTCCTGAACGTCCCGGGGTTGAACGAAATCTGGCCTGACGTTTTCAAACCACCAGAAGAGCTCAGCGATAAAAACCATGATGTTCGGCTGAAAGAAAACCAGCAGGACACGTGAGACAGCTGTTCACATCTGCTTACGACGGAACAAGATGCGTGAGACAGCCTGCGGCTTTATGACAGAGCGCAAACAATTCATTCGCCATTACCTTCAATACCGGGGGTGCATACAGCATGTCTTCTAAGGTGAGGTAAAAGCACTTGTTCAGATACTCATTGGAGAATTCTCTCAAAAGCCGAATGTTATACAGGCTGTCGGCCATTGACGTGACCTCCTTCAAGCAAATATCTAAGAAAAGAAAGACTCATCAGAAAGAAACCACCTCATAACTCCTTCATGCATGTCAAATTCCAAACAGAAAACTGTCACCCAAGGCAGCGGTAACCCTGAGAAGGGTGTCACAGCAACTATTGCAAGACACCTGTTCATTTATTTGGGTTTCTGGGCCATACCCAGCGGTGCTTAAGGGTTCCTCCTGGAGACCATGTGAGAAGCCGGGGATCAAACCTGGGTTGGCCACTTGCAGGCAAACACCCTCCATGCAATCCTATCTCTCTAGCCCTGTGAATCATTTGTTTGGAAGGAAGAAGAACCCAAAAGCCTAAAGACAACCACCGGCAACTGAGCCCAGGCCTCCCACACAAGCATCCACCTGGGGTTGGGCTGTGCAGTGGCAGTGACCAAAATGCTGCCACCCACTGGAAACACTCCGTGAGTAAAGTCCATGGTTGAGGTGGAGGTAAAAATTAAAGGCAAGTATCAGGCATATCCCAGAACACCCAGGGTCCTGAGCCAGGAGACTGTGGGGTCAAAGACTCATAGAGGGGGTGGCAACCCAGGGGGGACAACTGGACACGTTTCCCATCTAGAGGATGCCAGATCTACAACCGGGAGTCCAGCAGGCTTTGTCACTGAGTTGTGATGTGCAGGCAGATGGGAACCTGCTCAAGATGGGTCCAGAGCAGTACTGAAAATCTAAGCTTGCTCTGGCTGCAAACCTAGATATGCGTGCTTGTGAGTTACAGCACACTGACTTGAGACACATAACTTACTATAAAGAAAATCCTTTCAAGGACCGAAAGGATTCCCACCCAGGACTCAGCCCACAGCTAGGGGTCTCCAGAGAAACCCACAGCAAATGCTTCTGTGGGGAAGAGGGACGGAGGGGGAGCACGCATCTAGCTGTGCTCAAGAATCACTCCTGGCGTGGCCAGGGGACCATATGGGGTGGTAAAGGTAAAGGTAAAGGCCCTCCCGTTGATCGTCGATTTGCTCGAGCGGGCCCAGTAACATCTCCATTGGAGACTTTTGTTGTTACTGTGTCTGGCATATCGAATACTCTCAGTAGCTTGCCGGGCTCTCTGAGAGGGGCGGAGGAATCGAACTCGGGTTGGCCATGTTGGCCGCGTGTAAGGCGAACGCCCTACCCGCTGTGCTATCGCTCCAGCCCAGGAATGAAATTTGGGTCAGCCAGGTGCAAGGTGCTCTCCCCACTGTTCTATGCAGTACAACAATTTTTTATTTTTGTTTTTGGGCTATACCTGATATGCTCATGGGTTAGTCCTGGTTTTGCACTCAGGAATCACTCCTGGTGGTACTTGGGGATCATATGGGATATCAGGGATTGAACTCGAGTAGGCCACATGCAAGGCAAATGCCCTACCCGCTGTACTACTGCTCCAGCCTTAACAAATGTTTCTTTTAAAAATCAGATTGGGCTGGAGAGATAGTACAGTAGGTAGGACGTTTGCCTTGCACAAGGCTGACCTGGGTTCGATTCCCAGCATCCCATATGGTCCCCCGAGCACCGCCAAGAGTTAATTCCTGAGTGCAGAGCCAGAAATGACCCCTGTGCATCGCCGGGTTTGACCATCCGCCAAAAAATTCTGATTATTTACAGGGCGTTTGCCTTGCATGCAGCCAACATGGCCAACCTGAGTTCGATTCCTCCGGCCCTCTCGGAGAGCCCGGCAAGCTACCGAGAGTATCTCGCCTGCACGGCAGAGCCTGGCAAGCTCCCCGTGACGTATTCGATATGCCAAACACAGTAACAACAAAGTCTCCAATGGAGACGTTACTGGGCCCACTCAAGCAAATTGATGATCAACAGGAGGGCCTTTACCTTTACCTTTACCATCTAATAAGGGGTTAATAGCCAAGATATACAGATATATAAGGCACTGGTAGAACTTTCCAAGAAAAAAAGCACACAATCCTATCAAAAAATGGGATGAACAGATGAAAAAAATTCCCTTGAAGAAATATAAATAGCTAACGGCATATGAATAAGTGCTCTACATCACTAATTATAAGGGAAACCCAAATTAAAAAAATGAGATCTCATGCTACAGAGACTGACAACATCAAAAACAAGAACAACCAGTGCTGGCGACAATGTGGGGAGAAAGGGTCTCTCTTTGCTGCTGGTGGGAACGCCAACTGGTCCAGCCTTTCTGGAAAACAATATGGGCATTCCTCAAAAAAACAGAAGCCGAATTTCCAGTTGACCCAGCAATACTGCTCCTGGGAATACAACCCAGGAACTCACAAACACATAGCAGAAAAACCATCTGCACTTCTATTTCACTGCAGCACTATTCACAATAGCCAGAATCTGGAAACAACCCGAATGTCCAAGAATAGATTACTGGTTAAAGAAATAATGGTACATCTACACAATGGAATACTATGCAGCTGTTAGGAAAAATGAAGTCATGAAATTTGCTTATAAATGGGAGGACATGGAGAGAATCAAGCTGAGATGAGTAAGGAGAGGGACAAGCATAGAATAATTGGGATAAAAAAAATCCCAAAACATAGTATGAGACGAATATCCAAGGACAGTAGAAACAAGGGCCAGGAGAAAGGTGCATGGTTGGGAAACAGCCACAAAAGGAGTGGGGGAAGGCAACTAGGACAGAGACGAGACCACTGTGATAATGATAGCTGGAAATGATCACTCTGGACAAGAATCGAGTGCAAAAAATAAAGAGACATGCATGAAGGCCTCTTAGTAACAAACGCAGTGCCTAAAAAGGGTGTGTGCGGGGGGGGGGGGAGTGAGAGGGAGAACAAGAGGGAGAGGGAGAGGGAGGGGACTAAAGCTAAACTAAAAATACACAAGAAAAACATAAACATAAACACCCCATCCCAAAATTATTAAAAATCCCTGAAGTCAGAGAGACAGCTCCAAGGCTCGGCCGTTGCTTTCCGGGTTCCCAAGCACTGAGTCAAACTCTGCTGATGGAGGCAGCCTCACGGAGGGAATGTGGCTCTCTGGACACCCACCAGCCATGCCAGACCCATCCCAGTCAGGAGGCCCAGCTCTGTCCCCTCAACACCAGGTCTCAGGCTGCACTGCCCCCTTCCCTCTGTCCGTGGACGAGGCCCTCTCCGTCCTACAGCTCATGCACGGTGCCTGCCATTCTGAGGCTAGGCCGGACCCAGCATCAAGGGCCCTGGCGGCATTCACTGTATGGGCGACAATGGCATGCTGACAGGAGCCCTGGGGCCCACTGGCCAACATCTGCTTTGGCCCCCCCTCCACACTTTTGGGGACACACCTAGCAGTGCTTAGGGTCACTCATTCCTGGTGTTCTGGTGGACCATGTGGGGTGCCGGGGATGAGTTAGTTGTGTGCAAGGCAAACTCCCTTCCCGTCAAGCTATCGCTCGGCCCCTTCCCTGGCTTTCAGCCATCATCTTATTTCCTCGGATCTGCTCAAAACCCCTCCTGGAATCTGCCTGAAGCAGGGGGTAGTTCGACTCAAAAATCCCCTAGCTGCATCCACTCTCCCAGCGCCAGGGGGTCCCTAGCACGCTGTTGTGCCTACGCGAGTCCCTACTAGAGGTTCTAGAATGGGCTTAGGCATGCCCTTGTCCTTGGGTCTCCCCAGCCCACTTGGAGGTATCTGGCCGAGCTCTTGCTCTCCTCGGCACGCTCCCACCTGGCCACCTCTCTGCCTGCTTCCATCAGTATTGGATGGATTTCCCAGGAGACTCGTACCCTGCCCCTTCTTTGATTTGGCCCCACTGTGGACTGTCCAAAACACCGATGCCCACACCTAGCACAATGGGACACTTCACCCCTGTGTCCACGTCCAGGGACTGGACCTGCCACAGACCAGAGGCTGCCCTCCAGCCTCAGGCACTATGGATGTGCAGCCAAGTATGAGGCAGGCAGGGAACCCTGGGCGGAGACGCTGCGGGGTACAGCAGGCTGCTTGTTGGAGGGAGCTCAGACCAGCAGGAAGGACACTCACGGGGGGAGACCCGTCCAGTGTGCCCACCCCGATGCCTGCTGGGCACCCTTGTGTGGCACTCACCGTCCAGCTTCATCTGCTCAGGGCAGTAGTAGTGGATCACAGCCAGGAGCGCGGCGCCGTCGCAGCCATCCCGCAACAGGTCATCCAGCAGCGGGAAGTGGGGCGGCTGCCTGGTGGACAGGGGCTCCCGGCGGTAGCGCACCTGTGGGGACCAGAGGAAAGGTCTCCCCATGCTCTCAAGGACAGACGTTTCCAGAATGGATGCGCAGCCACTACACAAAGTGGATACAGTGGCGCTGGGTGCGGGACGCTCACTAGGCTGACCCGCCCGTGTGACCTGAGTGGCCCCAGCGGTGAGTGCTGGGGCTCCAGGCCGCGCCTGTGGCCATGGTGGCCACCAGCCCGAGAAACAAGCTAAGCAGTGAGCGCCTGCCACGTGAAGCCTGAGCTACAGGCTCTTCCTGGTTCCTCAGTCCAACCTCAGCATCCGGAAAACTCAGAAACAGCCCCAAGGCGGTCTGAGGGACTTCAGACAATGGGTCAGACAAAGTTATGCATTTTGTACATCAGACTCTGATGGGCTCAGCAACGCACCAGGAAAGTGGACTGAGCAAGGCCAGTGAGCCCAGGGCGCCAGGGTCCTGTCCCCAGCCTCGTTGCTGGCTGTCCCCATGAACAGCCGTCCGTTTCTGACCCAGAAGCCACCCAGGGAAGGAGGTCAGCAAGGCATCAGGCCCCCGTTGTGTGCAGTCCCCACCCCCTCTGTGCCCGAGAGGCCAATAACAGCACCAGCACCCAGAGCTGTGGCCACTTGGTGCCACCAGCTGTGTGTCAGGGTGCCCACACCCAAGGCTCCTGATGGCCGGCCTCTTTGCCAGAGTCGATGGGGGCGCTCCCTGGCTGTGGACTAACTTGTTTCTCAGAACGGCACAGGCGCTCGTGGGCGGGCGGGCAGCATGCATGGCCAGGCGTCCACACAGACACGCACACACGGATGCCACAGCATGCAGGAAGCAGATGGTGCTCGCGAAGATGGAGGGGGAGTTGAAAATTAGGGGCCCTGAGATCAAGGATCCACATCTGCTGCTGACCACACCAACGACTCTGCAGGCCACTGTCTAGGAGGTCCCCTCAGTGTTACCAGAGCGGCTGGCCGTGATCCGCAGCTGGTGGGCGCCACAGCTCACCACCTGCTCACTCACACATGTTCCTGTTAGCTCCCTGGCCCGCAGGATTCAAGTCAAATAACGCGATTCCCAAAAAAACATGTTTTCCTCTTCTTCGCTGCTAGTACACTGCACAGAGAACCTCAACGAGGTCTCAGCGACCCTGGGCCTGTCCCTGGCCCGCTAACCAGCCCTGCCATCAGGGTGGCACCCTGCTCTCCTTCCCAGTGGATGCTGAGCACTGTCTGGCCCAGAGGCCTCCGCTCCCAGCTTTGCTGGAAACCACCACAGGAGCACATGCGCTGCCTTCGAGGATGGGACCGACGGCAGGCAAGGCAGGACACGGTCTCGAAACTGCTTCTTCAAGGGGAAGCAGTGAGGCTCTAAAACTGTGTCTCCGTGCTGACCTAACTCTGCCCTGAGGGGGACAAGGGCTCCCAGCCCACAACAGCAGAGTCTCCAGAGCCCAGGAAGGGTCCGTGCCGAGGCCTCTCTCACCAGACAAGCCCCAGAGTCTGAGACAGCCCACTAAATGTCAGCACAGGCCGGTGATGAAAGAGCAGACTCTAAACAGTAATAGAAATTAGGTTACTTATCACCCCCCTCCTGTCTACACAGAGAGAACGATTGCCTCTTCTTTAGCACGTGGAAAGAAACCACCTCGGGCTGGAGCGACACGGCATGGGGAGGGCACCTGCCTTGCACGTGGCTGACCCAGGTTCGATCCGTGGTACCCAGATGGTCCCGAGCCCTTCCAGCAGTGATCCCTGAGTGTAAAGCCAGGAGTAAACCCTAAGCACTGACAGGTGTAGCTCAAACACCTGACCCGCCAGAAGAAACTCTATGAAGCTAAGAAACTGGCTAGACCCCTGCGTGAGGTGTGTGGTGTGGGAACCGCGAAAGGGGGCTCTCAGCGCTGCCACAGAAAGGACAGCATCAGAGGGTGGAGCACTGAGACCCAGGGCGGGGAGCGGAGAGCAGGCGGGTGGGGGGGCAGTATTGATGGAAGCGGGTGACGCACATGGCGGAGGCAGAGTCCACTTACAGGCACCAACTTCCAGTACCACTTGGAGGGAGACTGCTGAGGAGGCAGGGAAGGAAGGTGGGAGAGGAGGTCAGCAGAGCAGGCCCACCCGACGTGGCACACGCATGCACACAGTGTGGACACGCCAGGCGGTGTCCTGAGAGGGGGACCCGCCCAGGGCCTGGACGCAGCAGCGGGGGGTGTTGCAGGCACTTCTGTGGAGCCAAGACTGGCTGGAACTTGGTATGGGCTGGGCACCGAAAGGGCAGGCACAGACAGGCCCCAGAAAGGCTCAGTGCATTCTCACTGCCCATCCGAGGGGTCTTGAAGTCTTGGAATCAAGTGCCGGAAGCATGTGGCTGGGGGACACAGTGCAGGTGTCCAGGGCAGCCCGGGTCCAGAGTGGGCAGGAGTTAAGGGACACACCAGCACTCTATCCACCCAGACAAGTCTTGGTGCTGCTCATGGCACACCCAGTTGGGGAACAGGGCCCCCAGCACCCAGCAGCCACGCCACAGCTCAGTCAGGGATCAGCCAGAGGCAATCTGTCATGACTTGCTGACCTCTAGAAATTTCCCGGCACTCCTGACAGAGCCTTCAGCCCCTGCTTAAGGAAGAGATCACCCCTCCCCAGGAAGCCAGTGAGACACAGATGTCTCCCCACACTGAAACTAGAGTATCAGCCAACCAAGGGTCCAGAGACCGTCCACACAGTCTGGCCTGGAGCAAGGGCCACAATCACCCGGTACCTTCTGATGAGCTGGACTGTCCACTAACTGCTGCTTTAGCTTCACTTCTTTCTCCGTTAGCTCTCGCATCTTCAGGTTTACCTAAAACAGAAGTTCTGTTTCAAAGGCGACTCTGTTCCGACACTGGCGTCCATGGGTTGGCTCCACCCACTGCTTCCACCTTTCAGGCCTACATGAATCAAATTACCAGCGAGGCCCCAGGACAGGGCAGGGAGAACAGAGGGGGTGGGCTGGTGTGGGAAGCACCCTGGGCCTGGAACCCAGCACAGGAGCCCTGACAGCAGAGAGACAGGCCATGCAGACCGTGTCACTGACCAACTGCTGGACCTCTCTGCAGAGCCCTCCTTGCACACTGGGCCACAAAGGTCTCTGAGGATGCATAGAACGAGGTTTGAGCCTCGGCATCACCTGGTCCTGAGTACCATCACGCGTGGCTCCAACTATCAAATTAAAAAGAACTACAAGAATAATTACACATTAGTACAACTGAGGAATGAAGGTTCTCTCTCCCAGATCCGTCACTTGGCTTGGGTGTATCTCCCAAGCAGTGTCAGGGCCCAGGAATCACTTCTAAGGATCCTCTCTGATGCTCAGCAGTGTTGGGGAATAGCAGGGCCACTTGAGGCAAGGCCTAGAGCCCGTACACTCCAGCACCCTCTTATCCCCGTCTCGAATCACAGATGTAAACATACACACACACACACACACACACACACACACACACACCACACAGAGCATTTAAAAGGAACTGGCAGATCAGGTGAACAGCTTTAAAGAATGGAGAAAAATGCTCATAAATACCAACAAGGTGGGACTGGAGTAATAGCACAGTAGTTAGGACATTTGTCTTGCACATGGCTGACCCTGGTTCTATTCCCAGCATCCCATATGGTCCCCTGAGCACTGCCAGGGGTAATTCCTGAGTGCAGAGCCAGGAGTAACCCCTGTGCATCGCTGGGTGTGACCCAAAAAGAAAAAAAAAAAAGACAAGGTAGCAAAAGTATGGGGCTGACCTGGGGCTACTGCTGAACCTATTCTCAGGAGCGAGCATGCAGTGCTCTGAGATCACACTGGGTAGTCTATACGCAGGAAAAGTGCCTTACCTCTGCACCATCACTAGCCAAAGTGTTTTTAAGACCAGCGAGACAGTACAGTGGGTGGGGCACTTGCTTTCAGGCAGCCATCCTAGGTTCTATCCTGGTATTCCATAGTCTCCTGATCACTGCCAAGAGTGATCTCTGATTACTGCCAAGGTGTTGCCCAAACCCCTTCCCAAATATTTTCAATAGAAAGAAACAAAAGACATCTATAGAAATTATTAAGTAACTGAATCAGAAAACAAAAGACAAGTAAAACCATAGCCAAGTTTCACGACCATGCTTTGAATGTACAACAGAATTAAACAGCTACATTTCTGGAAGAAAAAGTTCCTATAAAGTAGAGCCTTGAGGAGTGGGGCACTTGGCAGTGCTTGGGGGAGTACGTGGTGTGGAGATCAAGCCCAGCCCCACACTAGGCCAATGCTGGAGCTCACGACCCCGCCCCAGCCCAGAGCTTTTGGTGGAATGTAAAGTTGATGACAAGAACTTTTTCACTTTTATCCTTATTTACATAGTTTAAAATCATACAGCAATCACCAACTGGCTCTTCCTGTTTTCTGATCATTCTATTCGCCATTTCTTAAAGTTTTATTGGAACAAGTAATATGAAAGTAAACTTGTTATGTGCCTAAAGAGGCAGGCTGGGAATGGGAGGGAAACCAGAGCATCGGTGGAGGGACGGTCACTGGTCATGTTGGAACACAAAATGCCTGAAACGACTGTATAATAAACAACTTTGTAAATCACATTAGCACTGTAGCACTGTCCTCCTGTTGTTCATCGATTTGCTCAAGCGGGCCCAGTAACATCTCCATTGTGAGACTTGTTACTGTGTTTGGCATATCGAATATGTCAAGGGTAGCTTGCCAGGCTTTGCCGTGCAGGCGAAATACTCTCAGTAGCTGGCCGGGCTCTCCGAGAGGGGTGGAGGAATTGGACCCGGCTCAGCCGGGCTGGTGGCCTGCAAGGCAAACGCCCTACCGCTGTGCTATCATTCCAGCCAAATCACAGTAGTTCCTTATAAAAATCTTTTTTTTTTTTTTTAAAAAAAGAACTTTAAAAAGGAAAAAAAAGAACTTTTGGGGCTGGAGCAATAGCACAGCGGGTAGGGTGTTTACCTTGCATGTGGCCGAACCAGGTTCGATTCCCAGCATCCCATATGGTCCCCTGAGCACCGCCTGCAGTAATTCCTCAGTGCAGAGCCAGGAGAAACCCCTGTGCATGGCTGGGTGTGACCCCAAAAAGCAAAAAAAAAAAAAAAAAAAAAAAGAACTTTTTTCAATACCAGGGTTTGAGCCCAAAGACTTCACCTATGCAAGGCAAGTACTCAATCACTAAGCACAACTCAGCAACAAGAACATTATTTTAAAGAAAACAAACCATCAAAAAAAAATCAAGATTTAATGTGGCAAAAGAAACATCCACCTATATGTCTGATTGTAGTTAAGCCACAGAAGGAAGGCAAATGAGCTCAAGACCATGAGAACAAGTGTAAGTCTTGTCTGACGTACAACAATGGGGTTCTAGGTAGTCAAACATTCTTTTCTCTTTTTTTTTTTTTTTGCTTTTTTGGGTCATACCCGGCGATGCACAGGGGTTACTCCTGGCTCTGCACTCAGGAATTACCCCTGGTGGTGCTCAGGGGACCATATGGGATGCTGGGAATCGAACCCAGGTCGGCCGCGTGCAAGGCAAACTCCCTACCCGCTGAGCTATCACTCCAGCCCCCAGTAGTCAAACATTCTTACATGGCAAAAGAAACAGGCTATAAAAGCCCTCACAGTATGAGGGACACGAGTGCAAACTGAATTATGAGAGAGCATCTAAACAATGGCACCAACGGGCACAACTAACTCCACGTGGGTCTTATCACCTATTTCATTTATTTCATCAGCAAAGTCATCCCTAATTGAACCTGTCTACAATCAGGAAGCTTAATAAGCGAAAAGCTTTAGTGCTACAAACTACCAAAAATAACCATTCTCTATACATTGTACAAAGGTCTACATCACACCCACTGCGCTCAGGGCTGACTCTTGGTTCTGCACGCAGGGACTGCTCCTGGCAGTGCTTAGGAAACAACATGGGGTGCTGGGGCCTGAACCCGGGTCACCTGGGTGTATGGCCATCGCCCGCCCCCCTCCCCCCCCCAGCTGTACAACTGCTCGGCCCTGCGTTGTTTGCTTTTACAAGTGAGAGCAGAGGTACTGAAGACATGTACAGGGGTAAGGGTGCCTGCGTGGCATGTGCCCAGCCCGAGTCTGATCCCTGACACTGCACAGCTCCCCCACATTGCTGGGTGCCACCTGAGCCCTAATACTGACTTGTCCGAGTCACTGGGAGCAGCCCCAGGGTCCCTGATCAGGGGGGTCTCCCCCCAAAACCAATAGAAGGGAAAAAGAGCATTCAGGAAGTGATTGTCCAACCCCCAATACCGGAGAGGCACCAAGAACTCCGTCATGCTCAGAAACTACTCTGCACACCAGGAAATGGTCCATAGGACAGGCTCACGCTCAGTGCGCAGAGGCCAGCCTCACTTGGCTAACAGGAATGGCCTCTGAGCAGAAAAAGTAGCAGCCTGAGCACCACCCCAAAAGGCCGCAAAACCCCAGAATTAAAGAGAGAAAAGGAGAGACATGGGTCGGGTGCTTGCCCCGCACAGATGACCAACCCGGGTTTGATCCCTGGTACCCTATAGGGTCCCTGAGTATAGAGCCAGGAGTAAGCCCTGAGCACAGCCAGGCGTGGCCCCCAAACCAAACAGACCAATATGGCACTTCCACTCAGAACTCTGCCAGCTGGGCCTTAGCAGGACTGGGCACAGGCAGTGAGGGACACGCACCCCGGACATGGCCTCAGCACGCACCTTGTTGATCCAGAACACCATGGCATCCTCCAAGTCGTACGGAAGCTCTTTGGAGGCGCTGAATGTGGAGAAGCGCTTGACACTTGCCACCACCTTCTCGATGCTGATCATCTCCACGGTGTAGGCCATCATGAGGGCATCCACCATGGCCATGTGGGCACTCTGCGAGGAAGGCACGGTCAGACACACCACCTCCCGTTTGCTCCCACAGGCCAGGACCTGGGACCCTCTCCCATCTGCACCTGCCTCAGTGAGGCAGGCCTGCACCCTACGCTGTGAGGGCCCCGAGGGGAGATGGCACCCTTATTCCTAACTGGGGAAAGGCACGAGACATAGCCTTAAGTACGAGAGGCCCCGTGGCCTTCATGCTGCTCCGCCCAGTAGCCAAGGAGCACCCTGGGCCCTGCACATGAAGCCTCAGAGTCCAAGAGCGACAACACGGAACTAGGATGACAGCAGGGCCTAAACCGTAGGTCAGAGCCCTCAAACTAGCTGAGAGACCAAGAATGGCTGACCAGCTGTCAGGAGAAGCTGCGGCACTGGCTGCTCTTGGTCGGCTGCAAACAATCTAGGAGTGAGGCCTGGCTGGCCCACAGCCCAGCTCTGCAGAGGCCTGTCTTCCGAGGCACGAGCTGGCACTGGGAGCCACAAGGCCCAAGGCACGGGCAGCCCTGGATGGCCACTCTGGCTCTCGCCATAGGTCCAAGTGTGGGCCCTCACCACAAGGGCCATGCAAGGTCATAGTAGTGCCGGAGGCGTCCACTATGGGCATGCACCAGCGGGGAGGGGTGAGGCTCTCTCACCATCTTGATGGGCACGTGGCTGAGGTCGGGGTCTGTCACTGGGGTGTCATCGCTCTCCATCACATAAATTCCTTTCCGGGACAGGGCCTGGATGACTGACTGGTGTCCCTGCAGGGAGGCCGCCTGGTCCCCTTTCAGGATGAGGCTGCAGACGCGGCAGTACAGCTCACTGGACAGCAGGAGTCGCAGGACTGGGGGCTTGATGTGCTCCTGCTCATACTGGTCCACATAGAAAGGGTCCTGGAGGTCCTCAGGGATGTTGTCTGGAAGGGGAGAGAAGGGTTGGTGAGCCCCCCCACTGCGCCAAGGAGCTCCATTCGGCCAGACACAAGTGCTGCTGGCTCCCTAGGCCCCGAGAGGAGCACCCTGACCTTCAGGGCCCTGGGAAGATCAGGACAGGCCTGCAAGCTCCAGCCAGGCCACACTGCCTGACAGCGCACTGCAGGGTCAGCCCCTGCACAGACCTCCAGAGCTGTCCCATCAGCAGCAACATGGAATGGAGGCACCAAGTGAGCGAGTGCCGTGTCTCAGAGTTGTGAAAGCAGGAACCAGAGCCAAGCGGGGGACCAGTCTATGCACAGTCCACATCTCCTCCCACTTGCACAAGGCATGGCAGCGACACGGCAGCAGGCCTCCATTGGGCCAGAGCTCCCCACCCGCCTCTCCTCCCTGTGCTCTCGGTGTGATTCTTGCCTGTGTTCTCCCTGGAGGGCCTGGGACAGCCTAAGGGTCCCTCAGCTGCACAGATGTTTCCCACGCTCTGTGCCCTGCCACCTGCCACCAGGGCTTGCTGGAACTCCCCAACTCTGGAGGATGGCGGAAAAGACAATGTCCAGAAGGGCAAGGGATCCGCAGCCTCCACTAGGTGGAAGCCAGTGGGCTGTGACCCTCATTCCCCACATTTTCACCTCTGCGGTGTTTCTCGCAGCTGCACGACAGGGGCAGGGCAGGCACTGGCTGGGGACACAGCCTGCTCAGAGCACAAAACTGTCCCAGATCCCACTTGTGTTCACCACATCCGTGACCAGACATCCCAGTGCCATCTGAAGGTCCGGAACAGAAAAGATGATGCACAATGTAGGAAAGTCATCTGCATACCTATGTTCACTGCAGCACCAGATTTTGGCTATTCAGAATAGCCCAAATCCAGAACAGCTCAGGTGCCCAAGGAAAGACAAGTGGGTGAAGAAATTACAGTCCATACAATGAAATACTACTTGGCCGGAAGATGAAATCATAGAACTTGCTGCTATGTGTCTGGGGCTGAGAGAAGCTACAGGGAGAAGCAGGGGTGTGGGGGGACACAATGCACGATAACTGTGGAGGGAAGTGGTCACTCTGGAGGTGGAAGGGGTGCTGGAAGGTGCTAAGGTTTTAAGCATGAAACCATAACAAGAACAGCATCCTAAATCCAAAAAATAAATGTTGCTTGCTGTAGAGGCAGACTGGGGGTGGGAAGGAAACGGGACGCTGGTGAAGGGAGGGGTGCTGAAAAGCTTTATTCCTGGAGCTCAATCATGAATAAATTTGTAAACCAGTTATTCAAATTGGAAAAAAAAGCGAGCCCTGGGACAAATACAGTGGGAAAGGGACTAGAGAGACAGTACAACAGGTAGGGAGCTTGCCTTTCACACAGCCTACCCAGGCTCAATCCCTGGCACCCCAAAGGGTCACCCAAGCAGCACCAGGAATGATCCCTGAGCACAGGGCCAGGAGTAAGCTCTGAGCAGCACCAGGAGTGATCCGGGGCACAGAGTCAGGAGTAAGCTCTGAGTACTGCCAATGTGGCTCCTAAACCAAAACCAAACAAATGCAGCAGAAGACTTCTGCTGGCCTTGGCATCAATGTAAGGGAGCAGAGGGAGTCGCTGTCCCCAGGAGCAAAGGCAGACATGTAAGCTGGCTGTGCACAGGAAGCCATGACCCGAGCACCTGTCTCATTCCTGATGGTGCTCAGGGGGACGTGCAGGGGCAGGGCCGGGGGCTCCCACATGCTAGGTGCACTGCAGTTCTCTGAGCCACCACCCGGGACCGGCTCTGACAGGCTTTCAACGAAGTGCCTCTCACAGAAACCAGGAAGGCCCGGCCCCTGAGTAAGGCTGCGCGGGTGCTCAGGTGGCCGGTCCTAAGGGTGACCCATCCAAGCTAGAGCACAGGGTCAGACCCATAAAGCAGGAAGTCATGGAGGGACCAGTGTGAGCGGGACAGAAGCCAGCTGTGAGCAAGCAGCCCTGTGCAGGGGTGAGATGCAGACAAACACTAAGGTTTCTGAGGCCGCTGACAGGCCACAGCACAGATGCCCGTGCCAGCCCAGAAGCCACAATGGAGGGAGAGTGGCACAGTGGAGGGGGGCCTGCGCCAGGGGTATGTGAGGCAGAAATACAGGATCAAAGCACAAGAAAGAGGTGGCGGACATCCACACTGGCATGTGCCCAAAAGGATGGGCAGAAACAGAGACAGCAGCAGGGAGTGCAAGCCTCCAGGGAGCACAGAGGTCCTCAGAGGACAGCAACTAGAGGGGCCGGGCAAAGAAACCACAGCAGCTCCAGTGACAGCGGCAGGAGACTCCCTAAGAGGACAAAGGGTGGCACGTGCTGCAGGTGTGGGCAGAGCTGAGAAGGCCGAGGTGGTGCTGTCAGGAAGGGCCCATGAGCTGCCCCCTGACAGCAGGCAGCAGAGACATCACCCAGGGATACTGAGGGCAGGCAGCTTGTGTTCTGCGACAGGCTTGCTGTCCCAAACCTGGGGTCTCCCTGGGTGAAATGAGGAAAAGCAACATGGCACACAGGTGTGGAATTAAACAAGGAGAGAGATGGGCCACCTGAGGCTTCCCAGCAGGAAGTCCCCTCTCTCCCTTCAACCCCACCCTGGATCTGCCTGTGTTCCGCAGGCTTGGCTTTTCCTGACTCGGGTCTCTAAGTCACTCTGACTGATGGTGAACTGATGTGTGAGTGACAGGGTGCTGACAAGTCTGTAGTTACAAAGAGGCACACTGCAACCCCTCACCTGCCCTTCACTGGGTCGGGGATGCTGATCAGGCCAGGCGGGAGCACTAGCTCATCTTCCAGCTAGTGAGATGTGGGAGAGCCCACCAAGGATTCCTGGGCAGGCACTGCCACTGTACCACCCAGAGTGACCCAGACTTCCCAGGCTCCCTGGGGCCCAGCAAACCGCACGGAAGGACGGATATGCCACTGCAGGGAGACTGGGCCACTGGCACTCTCACACACACCCAGTACCACTCGCAGACTTGTCCCGGGTACTGGCAGGCATCAGCATCTGCCACTGACTGCCCCTCACCCAGCCAGCCTGCAGAATGACCCAAGGTCACCTAGCCCTGCATCCCAGCCCAAAACCCAACCTCTGGAGAGGTCAGTCAGGAGAGAAAAGCGAATGCCAGGAAGCCCTGGGGCAGAGGCTGGGCCAAATCCCCGTGCATAGCCGCAGGAGATGTTTGCCCTTTTCAGGGACAATCAGTTCGGTCCCTGGGACCACACAAGTTTCCCTGAACAGGTTTCCCTGAGAATTGTCTGTCCCTGGAGCATAGAGCCAGGAGCAGCTCCGCTGGGTGTGGCCCCAAACCAAACAAACCAAAAGTCATACACGTAGAGTCAGAGCCAGCAGTAGCCTGGCCTAAGAGCTAAGCTGGCAGGTGGGAAGGGCTGACCCACCTTACACCCTTGCCCATATCTCCACCCACCTTGGGAAACGGCCTGATTGTCTCAACATGCCTCAGACCAGCGCAGACCTGGGCCGGGGGGCTCAGTGGGAAAGAGCACCCACCACCCACATGTGAGGCCTGGGGTCCGCGGACAAAGGGAAGGGACCCAGATCAGTGTTTCCAGAGCAGGCTGCTGTGCTCTGGGGTACAGGGGTGTGGGGGCACAAAGGGGCGAGGGGGTGCAATGAGATGCGGTGAGCATCCTGTTTTCTGAAAAGGGGCAGCAGAGTGAATAAGCTCGGGAACCTGCTCCAGGTCTTAGCATGTTCAGGATAGGACCCAAAGTGACTCCGAAAGAGATGACGCCACTGGCCCAGCCACTAGGCAGCCCAACAGAGCAGCAGCACTCACAGCCAGCCCCAGGAGGGCAACATTTCTAACCAGTGCCCCATCGCCTCACCACTCCCACAAAAAGAGGCCCCCGTAGAGGCAAGAAAGGCTCCCAGGCACAGAGAGAGCACAGCCAGTGCCCACTGCAGCTCGACTGGCTCCAGGCTGGATGGGAATGCCCACCACCCATCAGCAACCCCATGCCCTCCCTCCAGCTGCAGCGCGAGCAGCACAAACTGGAAGCAGTCTCTAAAAGGCAACACCTGCAAGAGGCAGGGGGCGTCCTGAGGAGCCACACTGGGTAGAGGGGAGTGCTGGGGCAGAGATGGGGTGCCGAATACAGCCTAAGGGAGAACGAATGCTGTGTGCAGTATCTCGGGGAGAACAGGTTCTGTGCGCAGTCTGAGGGGAGAAACGAATGCTGCATGCAGTCTGAGGAGAGCAGGGTGCTGTGTGCAGCCTGAGGGGTGCTGTATATAGTCTGAGAGAAAACGGGATGCTGCGTGTAGTCTGAGGGGGAGAACTGGGTGCCATGTGAAGTCTGAGGGAAAATAAGGTGCTGTGTACAGTCTGAAGGGAGAACAGGGTGCTGTGTGCTTTCTGAGGGAGCACGGGGTGCTGTGCGCAGTCTGAAGGGAGAACTGGGTGCTGTGTGCAGCCTGAGGGAGAACAGGGTGCTGTGTGCAGCCTGAGGGAGAATGGGGTGTGGTGTGCAATCTGAAGGGAGAACAGAGTGTTGTATGAGGTCTGAGGGACAACGGGGTGCTGTGTGCAGTCTGAGGGAGAACAAGGTGCTGTGTACAGTCTGGAGAATGGGTTACTGTATACAGTCTGAGGGAGAACAGGGTGCTGGGTGCTGTCTGAGGGGAGAACAAGGTGCTGTGTGCAGTCAGAGAGAACTGTGTGCTGTGTGCAGTCTGAGAGAGAATTATGTGCCGTGTACAGTCTGAGGGGAGAAGGGGTGCTGTGTGCCAGATTTGAGGGGAAAATGGGTGCGGTGTGCTGTCTGAGGGAGCACAGAATGCTGTATATGGTCAGAGGGAGAATGGGGTGCAATGTGCAGTCTGAGGGGAGAACAGGTGCTGTGTGTACTCTGAAGGAAGAAGAGGTGTTGTGTGCAGCCTGAGGGAGAATGGAGTGCTGTGTGCAGCCTGAGGGAGAATGGAGTGCTGTGTGCAGTCTGAGGGGAGAACGGGTGCTGTGTGCAGTCTGA